TGGAAAATAGAACTCATCCTTCTGTAAAACTTCCCTATTTTCTGGATACTTCATCCAGTGGGGTGGAGAATTGTTACTCTCTCTCTCAGAACTTCCATAACTGATGTGACCTTTTGTATGAAGCAATCTCAGGCAATCTCAACAAGATAGCTTCAGTGAGCCGCTCCCCCAGAAAAATCATGTTGTGTATGGCAAATGTATTGGGTAATGTTTAGTCATTATGAAGGATAACTTTTGCATTGTTGTTAATGAATGTAAATTTATTTAACAGAAGCGAGTCAACAGCTGTGGTCATTAGATGAATCGAGAACACTGTTGCAAGTCTATCCTGATGTTCTCGAAGCCCATGTCAGTCAGAACTTGAGTCATCAAACCAGTGATCTTTGGCTCCAAGTTGCCAAGGCCTATGCTGCTACAGGATACCCTAAGCGTGATGTTCCAGAGGTGGGTTATTTAGGTAAAAAAAAAAAGCATTGAATGTAATGAAACGCCAATTTCTGGGTGGGCCTCAGTAATTACCCAAGTGTAGTTACAGGGTGAGAGCTACGCTCGTGGTGTCCCGTCTTCCCAGCACTCTTTGTCATCTTTCTTTCTCTATTTTCCAATATGTTACAATGGTAACATATTGGAAAATAGAACTCATCCTTCTGTAAAACCGCTTTGAAACTACTGACGGTCTTGGCCTCCACCACCTTCTCACCTAACTTGTTCCAACCGTCTACCACTCTGTTTGCGAAAGTGAATTTTCTTATATTTCTTCGGCATCTGTGTTTAGCTAGTTTAAATCTATGACCTCTTGTTCTTGAAGTTCCAGGTCTCAGGAAATCTTCCCTATCGATTTTATCAATTCCTGTTACTGTTTTGTATGTAGTGATCATATCACCTCTTTTTCTTCTGTCTTCTAGTTTTGGCATATTTAATGCCTCTAACCTCTCCTCGTAGCTCTTGCCCTTCAGTTCTGGGAGCCACTTAGTAGCATGTCTTTGCACCTTTTCCAGTTTGTTGATGTGCTTCTTTAGATATTGGCACCACACAACAGCTGCATATTCTAGCTTTGGCCTAACAAAAGTCGTGAACAATTTCTTTAGTATATCGCCATCCATGTATTTAAAAGTAATTCTGAAGTTAGAAAGCGTGGCATAGGCTCCTCGCACAATGTTCTTTATGTGGTCCTCAGGTGATAGTTTTCTATCTAGAACCACCCCTAGATCTCTTTATCAGAATTCTTTAAAGATTTCTCACATAATATATAGGTTGTGTGAGGTCTCTGTTCTCCTATTCCACATTCCATTACATGGCATTTATTAACATTAAATTCCATTTGCCAAGTGGTGCTCCATATACTTATTTTGTCCAGATCATCTTGAAGGGCATGACAATCATCTAAGTTTCTTATCCTTCCTATTATCTCAGTGGCTCCCTGAAGCTGCATGATAACAGCACTGACAGTTTGATAGGTTCAGACACTACAACACTCCTCGATGAAGACAGACCAGAAGGACAGTTATTTGGAAATTCTGAACACTGGGAGCCAAGTGATGAGGGGTTCGGGGACACTCGTCCCCGCCACCCAGTGGGGCGGCAGTTGCCGCGAATATAATTTTTTACAATTATTTCAAATGTGTCTTATTCGTTTTTTATCAGGTTTTTTGCTGTAATATTATTCAAAAGTGTGTAATTTTTAGAATTTATATAGTTCAATGTGTGGAACATTGATATGCTAAAAGTTATTGAGCTCATGTATGTGACATGTATATTATATTCTAAGATCAATCAGTGTCTTTGCTTTTATTAACCCATATGTACACACACGTTAAGCGTGTATATATGGGTTATAAATACAGAACAGTGTATATACACTGTCACATTATATACATAGAACAAGAATAGAAGGACAGCTAGGTCAGGGGTGTCAAAGTCACCTGATAAAGAATACTGGAAAGATGGGAACACACAAGTATAGCTCTCATTCTGCTACTACTCTTAGGTAATTAAACTTTTAATTACCTTAGATAATTAGGTAATTTATTTATTTATTTATTTATCTATATACATGAAGGTACATTGGGTTTATGAGAGTACATAGCATTGATGTTTTTACATTCATGTAAAGCCACTAGCACGCATAGTGTTTCGGGCAGAATTAAACTTAGCAATTACTAGGATTGGAGTACTGTATCTTGATGGCAGTAATTTTCAAATCATTATTTTCTTAGTGTGAATACTTTATGAATTTTTGTAGGAAAATAGCTTAATTCAATATGTTTTAAATACTGTACAGTGGAACCTCGGTTTACGAATGCCCCACTTTACGAATCTTTTGGTTTATGAGCTCAATTTCTTCAAAAAATTTGACTTTTTGCCTCACTTGGCGAGTTTGTTGATACACGTATGGGTCAACCAAGTGCGTAGTTCCTGGTAGCAAGGGCGAGGCGCGCTTCAGTTTACCAGTGCCTCCCTGCCTAATGACGATTGCGTTTGAATTCTTTGTAAAGAAATTCGTTGTTTTTCTGTTTTTTTTTTTTAAGTGTCTGAACATAAAAATAATTATTATATATGGGTCCCAAGAAAGTCAGTGGTAAGGTTCAACCTAAGAAAACATATGTGAGGATGACGATAGAGGAAAAACAAGAGATCATTTGTAAACAAGAAAATAGTATGAGGGTTGTTGAACTAGCTAGGTTGGATGGGGCTAATGTGGAGGAGTTGGTTGAGGAACACAGCGAAGAACTCGCCACCGACGAACTCGTAGCTCTTCACAAGGAGCAGCAACAAGAGACAGCAGAGGAAATTTCTTCAGGGGAGGAGGAGGCAGTAGAGAATGTCCCTTTCTCTAAGAAAATGTGTGCAGAACTGCAAAGATTTGCTGAAAAGTGTCAGGCAGATAAAGCTGTAACAGGTCGTTGCATTAACCATTTTAATGGCAATGTGATGTCTCACTAAAGACAAGTGTTAAAATGTAGGGGGAAAAAAAAGTGTCTATAGACAGATTCCTGGTAAGACAAGCAAGCTGTGAGCCACAACCAGGTCCTAGTGGTATGCCAGCAAAACATAGAGAAAGTACCCCAGAGAAGTCTTGACTGCCTTATGTTATAATGGAAGGGGACTCTCCTTCCAAACACAAAACACCTCTCCTCCTTCCCCCTTTCTCCTCACAGTCTTCCATATGCCAACAAGTCATCAATAAAGGTAAGATATAACTTGTACATATTGTAGTACAAAATATTTATAGTATTATGTATGAAATGTATTTTGAAGATATTTTTGGGAGTGTGGAACGGATTAATTCAATTTACATTATTTCTTATGGGAAAATTCGTTTCGGTTTACGAATTTTGGGTTTACGAACCGTCTCTGGGAACGATTTAAATTCGTAAACGGAAGTACCACTGTATACAGATTTCATTGAAATGAACTTAGTCATAATATAATTAACAAAGCTGGGTGGAAATCTCTAATAATTGTCTTACTCATGACATCTCCACAGATAGCAATTCACTTTGGCTTGCTTCGGCAGGGGTACTCTCAAGGAAACAAATTTCCCTTGATGAGTGAGATGCGAAGAGTCAAAGAAATCGAAGAAGCTGTTTGCTACAGCCCTGATGTTTCTAAATTCACTGGAGGTCAGTTTTTATATACATACAATACTGTATGTTAGCATTTAAATATTATTTTATTTTGTTACCTGGTTGATACCTGGTTGATGGGGTTCTGGGAGTTCTTCTACTCCCCAAGCCCGGCCCGAGGCCAGGCTCGACTTGTGAGAGTTTGGTCCACCAGGCTGTTGCTTGTATTCATTAGTTGGCTATGGTAACCAAACCACACATCAGAAAGTGAAGAAACGACAACATTTTGGTCCATCTTGGACCATTATCAAGTAGAGTATTTAAAAGAAAGGAAGGTACAGGCACTAAACTTTCACATCAGTCAGTGTGAATGGAGTTCTAAGCCTACTGGGGATCACGGCCAGAACCTGCCCCCTCAAAGAGGCATGAGGAGCAATGGCCTATAGAAATGCACATGGGATTTGGAGAATTTTATATCTGCCATCGACTAGGACAGGCACCCAGAAAGGTAAGCGCCCCTAAACAAACCCCTATTCTGGTTAAAACGACTAAAATTTACTAACTAGTAGACAGAACTCCCCAAATGAAAACGAGCAAACGAGCATATCACACGATCCGCGCCGCATGTCTGTGCAGCTCCCAACTCCCAGGGGAGGGGAAAGGGGGAGCCCCAGTGCCTCACGCCGGTGATCCACCCACTATTTCTTCGGCTGATGTGATATTGGCATGGTCATGTAGCTCCAGCTCCGGTTCTCTCTGTTGTGCTGTGCATTGTGTTCATTACTGTTCTTAGGGTGGCGTGCGAGCTGGGAGTATTATTCCAAGGTACTCGGGCTGCATGTGCTTATGGTTACCTTCAATTCTGTGAGTGCGCTGTAAGTACCGCCCTTGGGGCTAGGGGTTATCTTCCACAAGTCGCCTTGGGTCTACCTCTGTTGGTGCTGGGGTGTTTCTGGCACCCTTATTTGCCTTGGGGTAAGAGGTAGTTTGCAGGTACCAGCTAATTTTCACCTATAACAGCGGCCGGCTTTGTTCTTCCTGGGTATGTTGTCCTCTTGCGGGGTTTTTCTTTTATTTTTGCCTGGTGGGGGGAGGGGTCTACCTTGGTGTTCCTTGCCCCCTGTTATATTAGAGTCTTGCTCTCTGTTGTTCGGTGGTAACCCCTGCTTGGCCTCCGTGAGTGGACATGTCCCGGGCGTTCAGCCTTAGCAGTTTATTTGGTAGTCTTGGGTGCTGGTTAGCAGTACCCTGCCTGGGCTTACCCTTGGCGATACAGAGCACCACTTGGTTTCCGAACTTTAGTTATCCGAAACTTCCAGTTTCCCGATTGGGGTTGGGAAGTCATATTACTCGAACAAAGTTCGGATAAGAAGGGGTCCGCCAAGCGTCATGCCGGCCTGTGGTGGTGGGTGGGAGATGATCCAGTTTGCCCACTGTGACTTCACAGATTCACGGCCTATTATTCCTATTATTTTGAATTGCCATAAGGCTGGAATGTTCATTCTATGCTTTTGTTTTACATATCTGCACAATCAAGAAACATCTGTGCACCATGTCGGATCCAAATGCACGCACTGCGTCAGTGATGGCTGACCGGTGGGTGGATGGATGAGGGAGCTTAGGTGGGAGGCAGTATGAGCAAGAGGGGGAGAATCAGTGAGAGAGGGGGAGAATTTAAAACTTGTGTATTGCAATTTTAAATTGAAAACTTCATCCTAAAATCTGAGTGTCTTAACAGAAAACGAGGCAACCTATCCTCCGAATTAACAGTACGATTTAATACTAAGTGTAATAAGTACATTTTTTACTGTCATAAACAGTGCATAATTGCACTTATGGGGCTGTTACATTTACTTAACCCCCTCCCCCGATATAATTCTCCTCGTTTTCTGTCAAGACACTCAGAATTTTAGGATGAAGTTTTCAATTTCAATTTGCAATACAGAAGTTTTAAATTTCAGGAATTTCTTTTTCAGGTTTATTAAACAATATAGATTTTATACAAAATTTTAAAATATCTTGAGTTACTTTATGATTTATTGATATATTTTAGTTTTGTTTTATTAGTTTTATAAAACTGTAATATCAATATAGCTATAGGTTAAGTACTAATTGTAATTAAGAAGCAATAAAATTAACTTCAAAATCTAAGACGGTTAGGTGAGGTTGTGGTTTTCTATTCAGTTTTTCAGTTAAACTCAAATATTCACAATATATTTGAGAGTACGATTTAATACTAAGTGAAAAAAAGTACAATTCCTAACTGCTATGAATAGTACATAATTGCACTTATTTGTCTTCTTACATTTACCACCCCATTTTTGGAGGACGGGCTGAACGAGGAGAATTAAATCGGGGAGGGAGTTGTGTAAATGTAACACAAGTGCAATAATAAGTGCAATTATGCACTGTTTATGACAGTAAGAAAGTGTACTTATTACACTTAGTATTAAAGCATACTGTCAATTTGGAGGATGGGTTGCACCATCATATCACATTTATCCACCAAATGCATGTTGATGTTATAGTCCAAGACACAATCTGGCTTATAGATTATTTCTCTTGTGGTTCTGTTCACCTTGCTACTGTCCAGCATTGTTCCAGCGTGAATGGTGGTCAACATGTTCACTTCACACTTGTCTTTCCACCGCACTGAAAGTATTCTACCTGGTTTTGAGTTTCCTGGTTTCTTTTCACGAAGCAGTTACGCAAGTACTTATGAATGTGTACAGTACATCTTTCCTCAATTTTTGACGGCTTTGGTTACATGTATTAAACAGTTTACAAGCATGAAAACTTCCCAATCAACTGTTGTTATTGTTATAAACAACCTCTAGGTGCTTCAGAGCTCGTTAACTGTTTAATAATTGTAAACAAAGATGCCAAAGATTGAGAAAAGATGTACGGGTTCGTAAGTGCTTGCGTAACTTCTTTGTGAATCTGGCATCGTGTCTCTAGCAGGCAGAGTATTTGGAATGCTTGCCCTTATCAAAGTTTGACATATAATGGCCAGATGTAGGGGGATAGCATAAGGTGGAGCCCAAAAAAGGACACTTCATTACACACCTTGCTCTATTTAACATCTTTAAAGTTTAGCATTAGTATTAAACAATAAATTTTGTAGTATAAATTTGTAACATTTATGTATTTTCATGTAGAGTTATAATTTTGATTTTTCAATGATTTCGTATGCTTTCCTTATTTTAGATGTGGAGATTACCTACTGGAATCATGAAGCAGTTAACCATCTCCTTGATTTATACCTCAAATACCAGCCAACTGCATCCTCATCTCCTGGTTATAAAGATGAAGTGTTTATGAAGATCACAGAAAAAATGCTAGAATTTGGTTATGGGTAAGTATTTTACCCATAAGAATACAGTGGTACTGTACATCAAATAACGAATTTAATCCGTTCCGGCGCCGTGTTCGTCATGTGAAACGGACGTCATACAAAACAAATACCACTCATACCGTATGACCACGTCATACAAAACCATTTAACCACTGTGATGCATTGTTTATTGTGAAATTCTCCTAGTGTGCATGACATCAAGTGTTCCCCAAAAATCATTTTTCTTTGTAAAATGATAAATTCCCTTCCCTGAACATGTCTATGTAAAAATAATTACCAAATTCCACTTACTTTGGATGTGGGGACGTGGACAAGGTGCGCTTGGACATCATTAGGGACTGGTCGCCCGTGTGTTAAGCTCCCAGACACGATCGCGCAGACCATTCAAGCACTGCGTGTTGCTACAAATATATTTTCAAATATTTGTTCTATGTATTGCCAATGCGGTTTTAATTGTTTCTTTTATCGTATTTGATGCATATTTGTGATCTTTACAATATGTATACAATAGACTGTTCATAATGTTCCATGGAACTGTGATACATGTATCAGTAATGTGTCCACAATAAATGTTTATTGTCACAATATTACGTGGTAAAAATTCAGTAAAATTACAATATGTACAGTTTCACATACTATTTACACAGTAACACACTGTGTTACACACTCGGTACTTTGGAGGTGCGTAATAATCAATGAAGTAGTCCATGGTACACAGCACAACTTTGCTTGCATTGCACCAGCTACAGGACAACCGGCGCAGCCGTAAAGTGTGAAGTTTGCTTGTTTCCTTGGGGTTGTAGGGAGTTTCTACCTCTCTGTTCGGTTTTTGTTTTAGTTTTTTACCATGTGGGGTTTGTTTTGTCATGCCTACCTTTCTGGGTGCCTGACCCCGGTCGATGGCAGATAAGGAAAACCCCAACCACAAGAGGGTTTTCCAGTGCCATTGCTCCCTGAAACTTCTCTGAAGGGGCCAGGTTCTGGCGCTGGTCCCTGGTAGGTCTGAACTCCTTAGCTAATGTCCCGGTCTAATATAACATACATTAGCCTGATAAGCTCCAGGGAGCCTCTGGGGCTCACCCAGAAAATGGCGTTTCATTACATTCAACGCTGGTTTTTTGGAATGTGGAACAGATTAATTCAATTTATATTATTTCTTATGGGAAAATTTGTTTTGTTACAAATTTTCGGGTTATTAGCTGTTTCTGGGAATATATTAAATTCGTCAATGAAGGTACCACTGTACTTGTATGAGTGTAATACACTGTACTAGTTGTGACAGGGTTGCTAGTTTGTGATTTTATTCATTTCTTTTGCACGAGTTTCTTTGCTCTTTCTGGCTGTAGGTCACAGTTTTACCGGCTAGTTGTTTATGGTTCGCCTATCTTTCTGGGTGCCCACCTCAGTTGAAGGCGGAATATGGCGTAATTTAAATATAAAGTGCTCATAATTGCTCCCTGCGCATCTCTGAGGGAACCAAGTTCTGTCTCGTGGTTCCCGGTAGGCATAGAATTCCTGTGACTGATGACCCCAAACTAATATAGCACATATCAGTTCAGATAGCTTTAGGGAACCTCTAAGGCTAAGCCTAGAAAATGGCATTTCATTACTTTCAACGTTGTTTTTTTGTCTAGGGGTGGGGGTTGCCTGGGGGTCTGGCCAGTCGAACGAAATCCCACATGGAGCGAATTGGCTTTGCCCCATATGTTTCACTGAAGTCTTCTTATGTTCTTATATATGAATGAGATTGGGTGGATATAAACAGGAGCTGCCTCGTATGGGCCAATAGGCCTTCTGCAGTTACCTTCATCCTTATGTTCTTAAGTGAGGACACTGATTTTCTTGGGTTGCCTGTGATGGTAAACATTTTTTCAAAGATTGCAGTGTACTATGGTTAGCACTAAATTACTGGTTCTTGAAAATATGAGCCTAAATCATTAATAACATTAAGTAATCCAAATATGTATTATTTTTAACAGGTATAACAAAGATCAAGTCTTCGAGCAGTTTAAAACTCTTCTTACCCAGTTTAATACTCGAATTACAAAACCATGGACATCACAACCTGGAAGTCGTAAGATCCGCAATCCAGTTGCAACTCCACCATATTGGCAAAAACTACACGAGGTTCTTGAGCTCAGGAAAATTCTGTCACTAAGTTGGACAACAGGTAAATACTATAGTAGGTTTGTTAGGAAGCACTCTTGTGGCTCCCTGATGCTGTGTTTCTGAGATGGCTTTCAACTAGTAGCTCACATCAGCTGTGGAGTTCTGTTTGTCTTAACGGGGACCATGAGCCAGGACCTAGTTTCTCATAAAGGTACAGAAACCAGATGACACCCCCTCCACCTCACTCATCCCAAAATACTCATCCTGATCCCTTCCTGGCCTTTTCCTCAGATTCAGCATGGGCTCTTTATTTTCACCTATCCTTTTTCTCTATTTTTTTCTGTAGGAGGTTGTGGACTGGTTCCTGTCATCTGCAGCTACTGGTTACTGGCTGGTGTCTGACTGAGTCTTTCGGGTTGTCCTTGTGTTTTGAGATGGTTTGGCAGGGCTAGGGCTTACTGCTTGCTGTTGGTCAGGATAGACCGGATTCAGAGCCAAGGCCCAAGCCGCATGTGCTTCCCTTTGCTGGTTCCACATTATATATAATGTGTGTATATAGTGTAATAATAGCAACAGGAGTATGTTGGGAGGAGCCATTTTGGTGAGGGAGGTGGCACCGTATTCGTAGCGTTGTCGTTTGCTGTGTGATTTGTCATGCAGTGTATGGTGGACACTGTGCTGTTTGGACACAATACCAACTTAGTTGTATAGTTATGGTGAATAAAACATGTAGATACTTATACATAATGTGTGTAAATAGTGTAATAAAAACAATAACAGTAGGGTGGGAGGAGGAATGTTGGCAAGTAAGGTGTTAGAGGAGTGAGGGAGGGCTGGCTGGGTGTGGTAGCTTATTCTTGCTTATTGGGCTCACCATACCAAGTTAGTGGTTCATTATGGTGAACACATATGTAGGTAGGTATATACAATGTGTGTATATAGTGCAATAACAGCAAAAACACTGATTGATCATAGAATATAATATATATGTCAGGTTATCTTGAGATGATTTCGGGGCTTTAGTGTCCCCGCGGCCCGGTCCTTCCAGGGCCCCAGGAAGCAGCCCGTGACAGCTGACTAACTCCCAGGTACCTATTTACTGCTAGGTAACAGGGGCATCAGGGTGAAAGAGAGACTGCCCATTGTTTCTCGCTGGCGCCCAGGATTGAACCCGGGACCACAGGATCACGCGTTCAGTGTTCTGCCTGCTTAGCCACCGGCTCCTGGGAATCGAGGTTCCCCTCGGTAGAATCGAGAGGAATCGAACCACTAATGTCACTTATATGAGCCCCATAATTTTGAGCATAGCGATGTTCCACAATTTAAACTATATAAATTCCACAAATTACACACTTTTGAATAATAATACAGCAAAAAACCAGAAAAGAAATGAATGAGAAACATCAAAATAATTGTGAAACATTATATTCGCGGCTACTGCCGCATCACAGGGTGGCGGAGCTGACTGACCCTGAACACTTTATCGCTGAGTGCCCATAATTTGCTCAATTTCCCAGCTCCATCACGGCTAAAGTATGTCACACAATATTTTTTTTGTTGGGAGCCCCATCAGCTCCCCGGAGCTTATCCAGGCTGATATTAGCATATCAGACTTTGGCATCAGTCACGTGTATGGAGTTCTGTGGGCCTACCAGGGACTACAAGCCAGACCCTGGCCCCCTCAAAGAGGCATGGGCAGCAATGGCCTATAGAAACCCCCGTGTGGTTGGAAGCATTCTTTATCTGCCATCGACTGGGTCAGGCATCCAGAATGGTAAGCGTCCCAAAACAAACCCCTATTCTGGTGAAAATTGCTACCAAAAGTCGAACAAGTGGATAGAACTCCCCAAAAAGAAACAAGCAAACGAGCATGATGTCACGCGTCGCCGCGCCACTGTCTGCGCAGCTTCCCCATACGCAGGAGGTTTTTCTCTGACTGCGTGTGCGTGGGTTTCTTTAATTTTCTCCTTATACTTTTCTAACCCTCTAGTAACCACCTCCATTTGTGCTGCTCATGCATTTTCTCCATGTAAATCCTTGTGTAATTATTCCTTGGCTGGCTTGGAAATATGCTCTAACCTCTACATACTTCATCAGCTGTTTTCTTTTGCAAGGCATTTCTTTTTTATTTCTAGTTTTCCTTCAATAGTTCCTTAATTTGACCTTCCTGTATCGTTAATTACTCGTTACTCTACTAAGAGTTATTTTTCCTTTCAGTTTTTCATTTTTCTTCCTAAATGTTAGAAAGTTTCCCTTGTGTATCTTTAGCGTGTCTTTGACTTTCATTAACCTGCCATGGATGCCTTCCCTGCTGATTTAGTCCTGAGAAAAGGCCAATAAATTTTCATCCCATGTGTTCTAAAGTGTTGATATGTTTTTTGTCACTTTGTATTTTCTCATTTTTCTCTCCATTCACAGACTTTACTTAATTTTCTCGGATTTATAGCTTTTACTTTTCCCATAATCATTACTCCCAGGCCTCAACTATTGTTTTTTGTATATTTATATTACCTGGAACATCATAATGTATATAAATGAGTACACAGAAATCACAATAACGTGATATAACAAACGAGCAAAGGCCCTTGTGGATTTGTTCATTTATATGAATGAGATAATAATAATATAACAAATAACAGATACCTTCTTTTACAGGAGTGAAGCCACTTACATTACAAGCTCAGAAATGTGTGTATAGTGTGGCATGCAAGAAGGCTGAAGAGCTTCTCACAAAAAAGATGGCCGACACTGAACATGTGAGGCTGCTAGCAGAAATCATTGATGGAATTCGGGTTCATATTAGAACACATCAGCTGTTAAATCCAGTACCTCGGACTCGTCAGGTTTGTTATTTACGTAATAAAGTGGATAAGTCAGTGGAGGCAGGGGAGGCAGGTGGTGTCAGTAGAAGTTGTTGTTGTCAGGGAAGGCAGGTGGTGTCAGTAGTGGAAGTTGTTGTCAGGGAAGGCAGGTGGTGTCAGTAGTGGAAGTTGTTGTCAGGGAAGGCAGGTGGTATCAATAGTGGAAATTGTCAGAGAAGACAGGTGCCGATTCAGGTTCATTGCCAGAACCAAGGGGGGTTCGATGTGGTACTTGGCTCTTTGGGGCTGGTCGCTTCTGGTGTCTGCCGAGTTCTCGGGGTTTGGCTCTCCTGACGGTTCATGTTCAGGGAGTGTAAAACGTCCTAGCAGATGGCCTTTCTCAGTTCATTTACCTTTCTATAGAATGGATGGTCGACCCCCCAACTCATTTAGTTGACTCTGCCGGTCGTACAGGCGCCCAGAGGTGGACCTCTTAGCATCGGTGTAGTTGAGACATCTTCCAGTGTATGTGGCGCCCTTCCCCGACTTTGAAGCTGTCGCGGGTCGATACCTTTCGGCTGGACTTTATTACACCCCCGCATCCCAAGGAGGATATAATCCGATTAACTGTAAATCTCCTTGTCATCATGAACTAGAGGTCACCCTTTGTCCTCTTGGCTGATACACTCGTTTTGGTGGGCAACAGCTGTCTTGATCCCTTTCACCTTACCTCGATGTGTGACCGGTCTCAATACTTAACATGTACTTTCAACCATCATTTGTTAAGTGTTGTAGTGCTTGATTCACTAGCTAATATTTACTCCTAATTTGTGGATTACAACATCTATCACTAGACTTCCCATTTTCTCTGTTGAGAGGGCCAAATTCTGGTTCTGGTCTCTGGTAGGCATTTGATTTGTTAGTGTGGTGTAGTACATAATATTCCTAGTTGGTAAATCAGGAAGCCATTAGGGATTCACCTGTGCAGGATTCTATATAATGTATACTCTGAAGTTTAATTGTATTCAATACCATACTAATATTGAGTGTATTTTGTCCACAGGTCCGTTTTCACTTGACTGATGTTCTGAAGAACTATGACAAGACTAGAGAAAAAAATAAGGACATTGTATATCTGCACACGTTATTAGAAAAATATAACATGTTAAAACTTTTTCATGATGTTTCTCTTGGTAAGCTATATTTTACTTTTTTTAAGTCAGAGACATAACCAGAAATTTGCACAGATAAGAACTAAGAGTTGAATATATTTAATTTCAGAACTAATACTGTATTCATCTACTTTACATATGATCTCATGTACGACAGACCTCTGCTATTTGCCAATTCTATTTAGCACTCTTGGCTATTTGCAATTTTTATTGGCACTACTAGATTGTTAATTACTGTACATCATTTTGAGCCTTCAAAACTGTGTTTTTCTGAAGGAGTGCCTTGTGGCTCTCTTAAGCTATCTCATTGATATGGGGCAAGATTCACGAAGCAGTTACGGAAGCACTTACGAACCTGTCCATCTTTTCTTAATCTTTGGCGGCTTTGTTTACAATTATTAAACAGTTAATGAGCTCTGAAGCACCAGGAGGCTGTTAATAACAATAACAACAGTTGATTGGCAAGTTTTCATGCTTGTAAACTGTTTAATAAATGTAGCCAAAGCCGTCAAAGATTGAGGAAAGATGTACACGTTCTTAAGTGCTCACATAACTGCTTCGTGAATCTGGGCCATGGCTACAAACTACCAGGTTATATCAGTTGTTGACTTCTGTTCAACCTACTGGGGGGCCAGAGCCAGAACCTGGCACCTTACATAGGCACAGAAAGCAGATGACACTCTGCCACCCCACCAGGAAAAAAATCCAGAAAGTCAGCAAACCAATACAGACCACTGCCGAGTTCAAAAAAGGCTAAAACCTTGAAACTGACAGTCCAAACATGGATAATAAATGATCAAATTTCTCAAAACTGGCACAAGCTGTTAATACTAACCCTCTTGCCCTCATTGGCAAGGTGGGTGCAGAGCTCCAGGTACTCTCCAGTCCCTCAAGCCAGTTCTGTTGCTGATGAGGACATAGATGGATGTCCACTGTAGGGTTCCTGGATCAACAACAAACCATCCAGTTCCTGCTGCTTCTAAACTGAATGCCGGCCATCCTAGGACTTTGACCTGCTGGGGGAAGGGGAGGGGTCATTTGCTTGGTGTTTTTCTATATTTTAGTCAGCTCATGAGTGTTTTCTGTCTGGTTTGTTGTGTGGACCTGGTTCATAAGGTACTTGGAGCTGCATGTGCTTGAGGTTACCGCCTCTGGGTGCTCCTAATGCTGCCTATGCACTGACGGTTCTTTTCTTTGCTATGTTTGGGAATTCATTCTTTAGAGGCTTGACCAAAGAAGTGGGGGCCTTACCTTGGGGGTGTCAGTTTTTTTACCACACTGTCTAGACTCTTGGTTATAAGCGACTATTTTGGTTAGTTGGGATGTACACTGGTGGTTTTCGTGCTTGTTCACAAGGAGCACCAAGGTCAGCCTGCACTACCCATATTATCCACCTTGGGAGGTCTCTAAGGCCCTCCTATATCTCGCTAAGACCCTGAGCGAGATACTGAGGAAGCTTTATGACTGTTTTCAGGGAGCTACTAAACACACTTAAGATTGATGACCCAAATGAATTTTTCATGGATATGATACCACCATCAAATTATATATCAGACATCACCCTGTCCCCACTGGATTTTGAAGAAGCCATAAACAGTATGCCTATGCACTCTGCACCAGGCCCTGATTCTTGGAACTCCATATTCATCAAGAACTGTAAAAAACCACTATCACAGGCCCTTCACATTCTTTGGAGACAAAGCCTAGATACTGGTGTTATCCCTGACATACTAAAAACAGAAGAGCACCACTCCATAAAGGAGGTAATAAGGCAGAGGCAAAAAATTAGACCAATAGCACTAACATCACACATCATAAAAATTTTTGAGTGCTAAGATCATAAAATACATGGAATCACAGCATCTCCATAACCCTGGACAACATGGGTTCAGAACAGGGCGCTCTTGCTTGTCACAGTTGCTGGACCACTATGACATGAAATTAGATGCCATGGAAGACAGATAAAACGCTGATGTAATTTACGCAGATTTTGCAAAAGCCTTTGACAAATGTGACCATGGTGTTATTGCACATAAAATTCTTTCAAAAAGGAATTACCAGAAAAATAGGCAGATAGATCTACAATTTCCTGACTAACAGAACCCAATGTGTAACAGTCAATAAAATAAAATCCGGTCCATCAACCGTGAAGAGCTCAGTCCCCCAGGGTACTGTGCTTGCTTCAGTACTTTTTCTCCTCCTCATATTGGACATAAACAAGGACACAATCTATAGTAATGTATCATCTTTTGCAGATGACACTAGGATTTTCATGAGAGTAGACAACATAGAGGACACGGCAAACCTCCAATCAGACGTAAATCAGGTCTTTCTATTGGCTACAGAAAATAATATGGTGTTTAACGGAGATAAGTTCCAGCTCATGCGCTACGGAAAAAATGAAAATATAAAAACGGAAACCAATTACAAAACTCAAGTCAAATCATAATATAGAACGAAAAGGCAATGTAAAAGTTGTGGAGTAAAACAGACAGCGGCTTGGTGACGGTTGTGACTTTGTGCACATTTGCTCATTTTTCGTTTGGAGAGTTCTGTCCAATAGTTTGGCTTTCATTAGCAATTTTTTAACCAGATAGGGTTTGTTTTGGGGGGCCTATCTTTCTGGGTGCCTGACCCAGTAGATGGCAGACATGGAATGCTTCCAACCACATGAGTGTTTCTATAGACCATTACTCCTCGTGCCTCTCTGAGGGGGGGCCAGGTTCTGGCTCGTGATTCTTGGTAGGCTTGTAACGCCATTCACCTTGACTGATGCCAGGATCTAATACATTCATATCGGCCTGGATAGCTTTGGGAAGCCTCCGGGCCTCACCCAGAAAATGGCATTTCATTACATTCAACACTGTTTTTTTTTCTGGGGTTTTTAACAGGAGTGAATTGGCAGAAGAAAAGCCCGAAACGTACATTGGAGACCGATGAAGGATTTCCAGATAAAAGTTATCTGGACTGGATTTCAGAAGAGGAAAATTCTGGTACAACAAACAGCCAAGAAGAAAAGGATATAGCAGCTGAATACTTAACTTTTGCTCTTACTTGTTTAAAAGAAAATTTAAACACACACACGTGTGGTAATATAGAGGAAACAAATACAATGCATATTAATAAAAAAACTAATGGAAGCAATTTATCTAATTTAAAGCATTCTGGAATTACACAAAACCTTGAGTGTGAAGTGCCAATAACCTCAGAATATGGTTATAAAACTAGTGACAACATTAACGTAAGTGAGCTCTCTAAAATACACAATGTACCGCATTTTTCTATGCTGAAGAAGAAAGTTAAAGAGAGAGTTTCCAGCAAAGATTATGATGTAACAATGCTTTCCAATTCTGGGTCAGAGCTAGACCAATCTATTCCATCTTGTAGCTACATTAGTCCTAAAGCAAAAATTAAATGTATCAACACAAAGAAAAGTAAGGATGTATATAAAGATCTTTTTGGGGAAGTGTGCAACATCATTCCTAAAAGATGTTCTGTTGAAACAAAGGGTACATTTTATACCTTTCCAAGATGTTCCAGCTCTGATTTAGTTATATATTTACCCAAAGACCTACCTTTAATTGGTCACAGTAATATTTCCAGTATAAATGACTCGTTAATACATCAATGTAGTGTGCTAAAACAGAGAAAAAGAAAATGGAATTCAGACAATGACTCATTGAAGTCTTCTGGTACAGAGCCTGATGTGAGTATTGATAACTTGCTTAATTTCAAAGCAAGTGAATCGCATCATTCAGAACCACAAAATATTAATAAGAAACCAGAGACAAAAATAATTCAAACACGGTCGGGTAGAAAAACTCGTTTCACATTTTTTTCAAAGGCCCTGAATGATAATTCAGATGAAGAAACAGGGGAGGAAAATTATAAAAAAATTTCAGAAAATAATATTTTACAGAAACGACCCAAACTTGATCCTCAAACATCCGAATCAACCACTCGGAGAATAAAAAAAACGAAGCTTCAAACAAATAAAGAGCCAGTTACTGTCCTTAGTTATAAGGTTGTTTTGGATGGTAGTGCTGTAGTTCACAGTAATGCTTCACAAGAACCAATACCTACAACAAGTAATGAAGATAAAATCTTTCATTGTGTTCCTAATGTGAAAAATCCGGTCATGTCATTTTTTAAGGAACATGAAAAAGAGAGAGTAAAAACTGAGGAGAAACTGTTGAGTATGTTGAATACTCAGCAAGTAGAGCAAGCAAGTGTAATAACAGAAATGCTTGATACATTTAAGGAATTTCAGTGTAAATTAAAGGATAAAAGATAAGTTAACTGAGCATAAACTTGTTTAGTGTGTAACTATATAGTCTTCCTGGCATGACACCACCTTTTGATAATTACTTACTTGTTTAGTGTAAATACAGACTTAACATTTTATATGGCATTTTAATTTCCTAACTGTCTGATCTGATATGTATCATTATTAATTTACTGGGTATGTATGCAGTTCATATACCTGTATTATCTAATATTGAAAATCTGAAATGGATCAGGCCAACCCTATTGCAGATTAGACCTATTAGGATATTAGATAAATGTCATCTCTGTACTAACCTAGAACATGGCATAATTTAATTAAGGTTTATTTATGTAAAGTGTACTGTACTGTACTGTACTGTATACAGTATAGTGTACTTGAAAGTGTTGTTCAGGACTCTTCACTTCAACCACTCCTTTTGCCTTCATCATTGAATTTGTTGGTGCATGACCTTTTCTGTGGGGAGCCCCTACGGCTTTCAGGCTAATGTATGTTATGTTAGACCGGGACATTAGCTATGGAGTTCAGACCTACCAGGGACCAGCGCCAGAACCTGGCCCCTTCAGAGAGGTTTCAGGGAGCAATGGCCCTGGAAAACCCCATTATGGTTGGGGGTTTTGCTTATCTGCCATCAACCGAGGTCAGGCACCCAGAAAGGTAGGCATAACAAAACAAACCCCACATGGTAAAAAACTACAAAAAAAAAAATGAACAGAGAGGTAGAAACTCCCTACGATCCTAAGGAAACAGCCGGCTGCCTTCAGTTCGTAAGCTAGTGTCAACCGGGATAGACGCTTCTCTGGCCTCAAATTCCTGGGTGGTGTTTGCCTCGTGTGGCATTCTCTGCTGTCTTTGTGTGGTATGCGGTGGCCAGGAGTACCTCATCAGTGCCGGGGCTGCATGCACTTAGGGGCTTCCTTCCCTAGGCGCCCTGTGAGTACTGCCCGTGTGTGTCAGGGTTATCTTCCCTGGGACGTTCGGGAACCGCTCCCGTAGGGGTTCTTGCTGCTTGGCATTTGCTTCGCCCTTGGGGCCAGCTGGGACTTGGGGGCCCTTGTTTGGCCTTGGGTTGGGAGTGGTGTTGTGTTGTGCTGACTAGGGCGTCAAGGTGTTGCGCAGCCTGCCACCTAAGTGACGACCGGTTACTGTTACCTCTGGGGACGTTGTACTTTTGCGGGGTTTTTCTTTTTTGTTTTGTTTTTGTTTGCCTGGTGGAGGTTCTGCCTCGTGGGTCTATAGTTCCCCTGATATTGTTTTGGTGGCCCTCTGCTAGGCCCGCGTGCTTGTACATGTCCCCAGGGGATTTTCAGTGTTATCATCTACCCTTGTTTGTTTGGGTTTCTTAACCGGTTAGCAACACCTTGCCCGGGCTTCCCGTAGTTATCCTACGGGCCCTGGAAACCCCTGTCAGGGCTCGGGGACCCATGGATGCATCTCCCAAGTTCCAGCCTGACCCGGATGCCCGAGGCTGCCCCCGGTTTGGTTTTAGGGACCCTGCCCTGGGGGCGATAGTCGCTTTGGCTCCTGCCGCATCCCCTGGTCCTTTCCCTGTGGTTCTTCTGGCTCCGAAACGTCTGAGGGTTTCAGCTTCAGCACAGGGTTTAGTTAGTAATGAGACTCGGGGTGGGGGGTTGTGTCCTCATGGCCTTTTTCCTACGACCGTAACCGCCGTTGGGAAACGGCTCTGGCGAGGTTGCATATTGGCCATATGCGCTTAACTCACGGTCACTTAATGGAGCGCCGCCCTGCTCATTATTGTCCAAATTGCATTGTCCCTCTTACGGTCGTGCATACTGACTTCCAGGACGAGCATGTGTCTTGCTTTCCGATCGTCCTTTCCGGTCGCTTGTCCCTCGATAGAATTCTTGGTGAATCTGATACTTTTGATATCATTTGCCTTATGCGTTTCTTTTCTCGTATTGGCATCCTTGGTGATATTTAACGCCCTCTGATTATTCCGCACATTTGATGGTGCTACATTAGCCTTCCCGGTTTGGTGTCTTCTTTTCATACTTACCAACCCTTCACTGCCCACTTGACCCAATGTCCAACCAGGCACCCAGAGGCTGCAGCTGCTGGGTAGGTTCAACAACCAGATGAAATCATAAACAGGTCTCCATGCATGGCAAACACAAATGTGGTAAATCCAAATTGGGCATATTTTGTTTGTGCACCATCATGGGGAGAGGAGCTGAATGCAGCCGCACTCGCTCTCGGACAACGCACAAGAGCCCACTTGCTATGTCAAGGAACCACTCTTGAGAGGGTAAAACAGGTCTGGTTCCAATTAGTCTCTTCAGGTGAGATGTCATTGTAGTGCATTTCCTGTGGATGAAGATTCAATCGTACAATAACTGAATTATATTAAAATATCAATATAGGATAATAACTCGATATTGTATATTTAAATACAAACAGAAAGGTTAGTACTATACAATATAAAAGTTTATTTACATACTATACAAACTTATTTAACAATATAATTGACCTTCAACTTTTGAAAACAAGAGTGAAAGATTAATGAAACAAGCTATTGTTGATCAAATTTAATGTTCAGATATTGAACACAAAAATTGCACTGGCTATAGATGTTTAATTCTTATTTTTAAACTGGAAAATCTGTTTTACAGATACAAACATACCTTGTTTAAAACTGCCCTGCATAGGTCTGATTCATTATATTTATAATGCTATTTATCTCGGATAAAAAAAAATTACATAAATTGTATGTAGATATGAATATGTAGAAAGGACTGTGTGGTGTGGAGTGTGATTTTTTTTTCCAAATTAATTATATTGCAGCTAATCACTATACAGTAATACAAATGTAACTTGTATAGGCCTACAAAGTAAACTGTTTACAAAACCCTATGTATCTTCATAAATCCAAGGTGTGGTCCATATTAGCAAAGGTTATGGCTGGCTGGCAGGACACACACGATGTGCATGTTTAGAAGTAGGTTAAGACAGGCAGCTAATCGACCACATACACCACTTGTTCATGCAACTGATGGAGTTGGGTTACACATATTTAAGGGTCGAGGTCCCACAAGCCAATACTGGTTGTTGGGCTGGCTAACCAGACACCTGAATGCAACATTAGCATTCCCACATTCCCACCAGATGCATTCCTATCTCCTACATCCACTAAACGTGCTTCTGTTCTCAACTTGAACCAATATGGTGGAGACGTAGGATTTCCATCTCTCACATTTAGCCGTGTGCCTGGCCCTCTTGGGTGCCGTACTCTTTCCAAAACAATAAAAGATTCGGGCATTTCATAGCATCGGTGCCTCTTCTAGGTAACATTTTAAAGTGTACAGACCAGACACAGTTCAACTTTTCACCAAGGAACAAAATTTCCAGGTGCCTTTTAGGAAGCACAGTGAGGAATAGAGCAGTTGGCAGCATCTAATAAGGTGCCATGAAAAAGAAAGAGGGCTTAAGGGAGAGATTTTGGATGGGCAGGGAAGAGCAGAATAAAAAGTGAAAGCATTCCAGTCTACCTTATCAAGCTGTCACTGAGGGGAAGAGAGAATGATGGAATGAAAAGTAAGAACAAGGATGGGGAAATGGTAATTGTTATAGGGTCATCAAGGACAAGGCCAGTTCTATATACATGGAGGAGCAGCACAGAGAAAGATCTATGCAGGAAAGAACGTAAAAGTCAACACGAGTTGGCTTGCCAGAATTCAGGAGATACAAGGGACAGGGCAAACGGTTCTAAACGATGACCTCAGATAAGTACATTGACCCAAAGGACATGTTGACATCTAAAATCACTTAAAAGGAGCAGAGGCTCCAGAAATGAGTCTAAAAGGTGTTTAAAATTGGGAAGAGAAATTGGGATTGAATAGGGACAGAAACAATGGTATGCTACACTGCAACCCGTTCTCGCACTTGCTTATAGTAATATCTTGCTTATGAATAAGTGCATATGTGACATACTAATTTATTGTGAATATTTGCATTTACCTTGAAATGCTGAATAGAAAACAACCTAACCTAACCTTCTTAGTATGTTAAGATATTACAATTAGTACTGAACCTATACCTATATTGATATTACAGTTTTATAAAAATAATAAAACCTAAAATTTTTAAATAAATTGTAAAGTAACTCAGGATATTGTCAAATTTTGTATAAAATCTCTATTGTTTAATAAAACAGAGGAAAAGTTAGTGCCCTGAAAAAAAATATGGCTTGGAATATGTCACATATGTACTTATTTATAAGCAAAATAGTGACTACAAGCAATATGTGCTGTCTTGTGTGAGAGAGGGTTGCACACTTTAGGGACAGCACCAGAGGTATGAACAAGGGTGACAGCAACTCCTATAGCGAGGTAAGATGGCTCCACTATCGAGACAAGAGGAGATTCAAGAACAAGAACAGAGATTAGCTGTGGGAAGGACTAATGCATTCTTACCTACTGGAGAGGAAGAGGGAGAAGGACCAAACTTACTTTTCTGACAGAGACAGGTCTTTGTAGTTACAAGTGTACTTTCATCCTGTAACTACACTACCCAAGTGTAGTTACAGGATGAGAGCTATGCTCGTGGTGTTCCGTCTTCTCAGTACTCTATCATATAACACTCTGAAACTACTGATGATTTTAGCCTTCACCACCATCTCACTTAGCTTGTTACAATCTTTTACTACTCTGTTTGCAAGAGAAAACGTTCTAATATTTTTTCAGCGCCTCTGTTTTCTTAGCTTGAATCTGTTTCCTCTTGTTCGTAAGTTGCTGGTTTCAGGAATTCCTCTTTGTCAATTTGGTCTATTTGCTGTTAGTATTTTGTAAGTGGTGATCATATCACCTCTTTTCTATCTACTAGTTTTGGCATGTTTAACGTCTCCAGTCTCTCCTTGTAACTCGTTTTTCAGTTCCGGAAGCCATTTTGTAGTGCTGTTGCACCTTTTTCAGTTTATTTACATGCTTCTTGAGATTTGGGTACCATACAACTGCTGCATATTCCAATTTTGGTCTCACAAAAGTCATGAACAGTTGCTTTAGTATTTCATCATCCATATAATTAAAAGAAAGTCTGAAGTTGGAAAGACACACACATGTTCCTTTCACAATGTTCTTTGTGGTTCTCTGGTGACAGCTTACTATCCAAAACCACCCCTAGGTCTTGTTCTTTATTAGAGTTCTGTAATGCCTTTCTACATAGTTTGTAAGTTGTGTGCAGTCTGTTGGCTCCAATCCCACATTCCATAATATGGCATTTATTCATTGAATTCCATTTGCCATTTGATGCTCCAAGCACCTATTTTATCTAGATTAGGTGAGGAGGCTGACTTGGGGGGCCCGGGGCCCCCGAAGTCAGCCCCCTCTCCCCCCCCCAACCCCGGGAACCTCCATGGCAGGCCCTGGGGCCGAGCCGTCCCCCCAATGCCCCAGCCTTGCAAGAAAAAGCCAGGGTAGCCAGAAAATTACTAAGGAAGGGAGCCCACTGGCAGACTCATACAACCCGGCTGGAGGAACAGGCTCGAATGCCTTCATCACTACCCCGGAAGGGGAAACCCCCGAGACCCCCCCCCCCTCCCGAGTCTCAAGACCATCGGATCCCTGCCCCGACCCCGAACCCCAAGACAGAAAGGATCTGGATTCAGGGAGGAAAGAGGGGGGGGGGGACCAGATGAAATCACAACAGTGGAAGACAAGGGGACGAGGAAGGAACAAAACTGAAGCAACCAACACCCCTAATCCCCGTCACAACAACCAAAACGGGGCAGCCCAGGGGCTTCCGGGAAGCAAATAACCTAGCACGTTGCAATCACCTGAACCTAACATGCAATGCCTGTGCTGCCTGCACCCGCATAGTCGGCTAGTCAGCATAAGACCAGGTAACCGAGATACAAACAGGCAACGAAACTTGCAGGACCCCACAAGCAGCAGCAAAAACAATGAGAGTCACCCTGAGACAAGGAGACAGAGCAACCCTCGAACTCGCACAAAGCGAGTTCGAGGGTTGGGACTCCCCCTTCCCTCTACCGAGGAGGGGGAGTTGCGCAGACAGTGGCGCGGCGGTGTGTGGCATCATACTCGTTTGCCCATTTCTGTTTGGGGAGTTCTATCCACTTGTTCGGCTTTTCGTCGCAATTTTCACCAGAATAGGGGTTTTGGGACGCTTACCTTTCTGGGTGCAGAAATAGAATGGCAGACATAGAATGCTTCCAACCACACGGGAGTTTCTATAGGCCATTGCTCCTCGTGCCTCTTCTGAGGGGGCCAGGTTCTGGCTCGTGGTCCCCGGTAGGCCCACAGAACTCCATACACATGACTGATGCCTAAGTCTGACATTAGCATATCAGCTTGGATAACTCCGGGGAGCCGACAAGGCTCCCCCCCCAGAAACAGCCAATACTAGAAAGGGTCACTGGAACAGTAACTGAATAAAGATAATGAAGAGACAGGTGAAGTGGGTGCCAGGTAACTTCATACTGCTGTTGCAAAGAGAGGTGCAGGTGGGACACCAACAAACCAGCCACCAGTTCACCATACAAATGGTGATAAACTCTCATCAGAAACTCCAGATACATAGAGCAACAGGTTTTGTTGCTGGGCCAATCTGCTGAAAAGGGGCAGAGCATCAGAAAAATGCCTGAGCATGGACACTAGGCAAGCAAAGCAAGAAACCAAGGCCAAGCCTGCCACCAAGGATCAAGAAGGATCACCCTCCATGAGTACATCTCCAGCTTGGACAACATCCAGAGCAACAACTGAACTGAAAAAAAATAGTTATCTGAGCCCCCACTTTGACATCCAGAGCAACAACTGAACTGAAAAAAAAAATAGTAATCTGAGCCCCCACTTTGACAGTGTAGCTGAAAGGAATCCACTGCAAGAGCCTCATAATCAAAGAATGGAGGATGCTGGTTCCACACTGACATGAAGAGGTCCACATTAAGGCAACTGAACATCTCATAAAGCCAACAGAAGGTCACGTCGTCAACAGTCCACTCCATGGAAATAGGATGGAAGCAAGACCCCATCGGTGAGAATATGGGTCACACCCTGTGTGCAGTAGTGGCTCGTGGCAACACAGAATGTGGGAATGGGGGGGATGTAGACTGTACTACACTATTGTACTGCAAGAAACCTCTATTTTTGTCTCATTTTAATGAAAATTTACAAAATTAAAATTTACAAGCGCAATGCTGTACAAGCCAAAGATGGGAACCTAGCCTGTAAGGTGGCACCTGCTGGTAAGTTTCCTAAGGTGAAGCAGGCTCAGAGAGAATGAAGGCCCAATGATAGCGTGTGTTGCAGGACTCAGGGTTGAAGGTATCACCGACCCAACAGACAGCATGGCAGAGGCAAAGAAAATTATCGTTGCCAGTAGCAGAACTGATGAGCCCCCTTCAAACTCGCATGTAGCGAGCGTGGACTTGACCGACTGATCCATTATGTTATGCCATACCCGGGCCTGAAGGTAGCAGGACACCTAGGGACTAGGGACACTTACTGAAAAAACAGACCCCAAATACAGCCTGTAAACAACATGGCTACGAAGGGTGTCCACAGTGTTTCATATCAACAAAGTGCGCATATATCCTAGTGTACCCCCCAACCAAGTAGGGCTGACCCAACCCAAGGCCTAAACAGAGGAGTCAGCAGCTCATGAATTGCCCAGGGTGAGGCTCTCTACCCCGACAATCACACCTCTTGTGGATGAACTACCTACCTACCTTGTATCTACCTTGTGTAGCTTCTGGGGATCATTGGCTCCACGGCTGCTCGCAGCCTGACATATGAATCACAGCCTGGTTGATCAGGTATTTTTTGGAGGTGTTTGTCAAGTTCTCTCTTGAACACTGTGAGGGGCCCAGCCAGTTACGTGTAGCGGGAGAGTGTTAAAAAGTCTTGGGCCCTTGATGTTGTTAGTTCTCCCTCAGTGTTTCTATTGCACCTCTTTTTTTTTTTTCAACGGGGGTATTCTGCACATCCTGCCATGCCTCCTGGTCTCATGTGGTGTTATTTCTGTGAACTCCCGAACACATCAGAGAAGTAACTCTCAGTTCAGGGCAGCACAAACAAGCACGCAAGGAAAGGAGCACTTAATGCAGGCAGCTTGAAGTGCAAAATATGCCAAGCCCACACAAGCCAGGAATAAAACATGCAAATACACAAATCAAAGAACAAAACACAAGCAAATGGTGTTTACATAGTACATAGCTGAGAAGCAGAGGGATTTGCTGCAGTACCACCAACCAGGGAAGCACAACTACAATCTTTACACCACTGTATCAACGACAGGACTGTGAGATGGGAGCAAGCATGGACTTGCCCCATCTCATTGTTCCAGAATATATGCTGGCAGCTATCAGTACTAATGACCTTATGCTAGCTAGTGGATCGTTTGTTTTCACCTGTGGAGTTGCTTGGCCATTTCTGCACTTCATTTTCTATGAACCTTGCAGTAGTCTGTCAAGTTTCATCGACTTTCTGGATGCTTTCCTAATATGGGTGACAATAATACATCCCCAGCTCTTTGCTCCTCTGTGGGGGGGCTAGTGTCTGGCTCTGGTCCCCTGTAGGCCAAATAGGACTCCTGCAACTGATGTGACCCAGTAGTGGGGTCCCATCTCAGTGAGAGAGCTTCAGGGAGCCAACAGGGCTCCTCACAGAAAATCGTGTTTATCATCAGTATTATTGTCCCAGAACCAATAGACCAATATGTTGGTCTAAGAAATAAATTATGGATGTCAGGAACACATGACTATAACGACTATGCTATAAAAACTACCCTTGTAGTGCCAATTCAGTCAATACTCCTATTTCTAGGAATGGATCCATGCCATTAAACGAGGTATGCATGTACATCTGAATCCCTACTAATATCAGCTTGTGTGGCAGTATTGGCCATCACCAGAAGAGGGTTCTGTTCACACACATTTTCGATGTCATTACTAGTATTAGATAACCTGCCTGTTGCAGTAACATTCACTCTAGATCCTTTATCACAAGCCATATTAGCTTTCTCTTGGTTACGGGCCACTGTACCAGAACTCTGGTCTTGGGTGATAGCAGCACTATTTAGGGTAGTAGCCTCAGCTATAAGAGCAGGCAGATCATTAGTGGTGTTAGGTACCTCGTACGTAACATATGTCCAACTATGAGATGTAGTCCCAAGAACTGACCCACCTGTTGTGCTGACACATCCTCCCTCGAGCATTTGATTCGGCACAATTTGTCCAGGTACTAAGTGACTGGATACGATATGGCTGGGTACAACACCTACAGGATACAAGTTGCCAACACTGGCGGTGGAAGGCATTGGTGCTTGACTAGTGTAAGTCCTGTCATGGCATAAAGGTAGTTCTCCTTGGTAGCCTGACACAGAGGTATTATCTTCCACAAGATGTACACTTGTGCAACTTGGCCTTTCTATGCTTTCTTCATATTTTTCATCACTCAAACTACTTGGAAAGTCCAACTTATCCACCTGAGTATACATAAAATGATTTATGGTTTCCTCAGGCAATCCCAAGGAAGCTGCCAAACTATTTGCTACAGTTGATAGTGCTTCAGCCTCAGAAGAGGACTGACTATTCATACTGGTCAATGTTTCACATACACCCTCTACATTCAGTTGATCTTGTTCAAGATGTGAAGATAAGTTTGATTCTGAAAGTTTAACCGCCTCGCCTGTCTCTATAGACAATTCCTCTTGCTTATTATTTCTTGTTTCCTCTCGTGTTAATTCAGGTGCTATTTGTTCTGTTTTCTGTTTAGCTCTATGACTGGATTTACAATGGGCTTTGAGATTATATGAGCGAGCAAAAGTAAGTGGGCAATGTGGGCATTTGTGACAAATATTGGGCTTGTTCTGGCAAAGTTTAGTCTGCATGTGGCCTTGAAGTGCTCCAAATGAACAAAATGCCCCTCCACAAACTGAACAGGTGTAGTTATCAGCATTTGCATGCTGTGAACGATGCTTTAAGAGAGCAGCGTCATTCATAGCTACATGATCACAAAGATCACATTTTGGAAAAGTTATATTTCTTGGCACTTTATTATGCTCTGTGTACTGATGATATGCTAATTCCAACTTGCGTCCAGGTCGGAATCCACACATGCTACACAGTCGTGTTTCATTCTTACTATGTACTTCTTTCATGTGCTGCTGATAACTAAAATAATCACTGAACTCTAAAGGTTCATTAAAAAAACACGTGTAACATGCATATGGTACGTTATCAATGCTAGCTAAGATAGCACTACTTTTATCTTTGTGTTCAGAAGATACATGCTTCTTAAATGTGAAGTACGTTGGGAAAACAATGTCTTCACATTCTGGACATTCAAACATCTGAGCATTCTGCACTGCATGAGGCAAAGTGTTTAAATTCCCCTTTGAGCCAGAGCTTGTGATAGTTTTGGAAAGTTTTGTACATAGTTTGGTTTTGGAATCACCATCACTTAAGACAAGATATTGAACTTTAGACTTAACTAACTTTCCACCCCCAGCTTTATCACTACCCTTTTTCAGAATTTTTAGTCTTATATTTTTTTTGTCTTTTACAAGCTGTGGATATTTTTTCAAAACTTCTGAAATGATCTTGGCATGATTAGACATGTCTCCTTTATTTACTTGGCCATGACTAGTGGACTGACTGGCAGAACCATCATCTTTTGTGCTCTTACCTCGTTCATCCACCTGACTGCACGATTCAGTAGCCTCGGAATCATTCATATTTAAATTCATCAATACTTTTTGCTTTAAAGACAATGTTAATTTTGATGGTGAATAGGAGTTGTCACTTGGTTTAAAAGTTCCAACAGTTTTCTGAACTTCGATAAGAGACTGTGCTGGCTCCTTTGCATGGGAATATAATGCAACTTCATTGATAAGTTCATTGTTTTCATCCAGTGGAAACGATACGTGTTTTTTCAAATTACTCGTAATAGTTTTATCTTTCTTCTTTTTAAGTATTGATTTAACTGGAACAGAAGGATTACTGAACATAAATGAATCTTTGCTATCTGAGGAATTGTCTCCTTCAATTGAAGTAGAAAATGAAACCTTGGAGTAGTTATCTTTTACAGGAATTTCACAATCTTCTGTTTCCATTTTATAATCACATGGAACATACACATCTCTACCACTTGACCCAGCTTCATCTACATCTTTTTCTTCTAGCTGTTTACATATGCTAGATATCTTTTCCATTAATTCTACACCATCCTTCTCAATGTCATCATCCTCAATAGTGTCAGGATCATCTATGACCATTGCCTGCTCTTTGAATGATTTTGAATTAGTGGTGACAGATACATCAACTTTGTTACCAGTTTCTTCTGTCTTAGCAACTTCAACTTGGTCCTCTGACATCACTTGGGTAAGGAGTGAAAATGGATCCTGAGGTGGGGAATTAAGGTTAGAAACAGTAAAACTTCTTGTGTCACTGTTCAGGTTCAATGACTGGTTATATCTACTTGCAAAAAGTGATGATCTGGATGAGCCAAATAGTGAAATATCAAGAGGATTGAAAGATGAAGTCTCTGTTGGTGAATATGAACATGATGAGGAATTACTGTCTTGACTACAAACTGAGGCCGTTGCAAGTGAAGGGGAAAAGGAAGAATTTTTGGAAGACCAATTCACTATATGAACAGGAACATTTTCAGCATCCTCTTCAAGTTCAAATCTTGTTGGCCTGGCCTCTTCCGCTGGTCTTTTCCGCCTGAAAAAGTTAATAATGATATTACTTGAAAACTATGAAGTTGATTGCATGTATATATTTTGACAAAGATTTCATTGAGAATCTGGGAAATTTAAAGCACTGACATTAATTGTTTTTAAGTTGTACATCTTTATTATGAATTTCCCCTTGCATTTCTAAGGGAGCTACTTGTAACACCCTGAAGCTACTAAATTGATATAGTGTCAGTCTACAAGGTACCATCAGTTGCAGAGTTCTGTTTGAGACCATGAGACCAGACCATGAGCTAGAACCTGGGCCCCCCCCCTCAGAGAGGCATAGAAAGCAGTGGCCATTAAGAAAATTTTTATGTAAATGTATTTATGCTTTTCTGGAAAGGCACCTAAAAAGTCGACAAACAAAACAAGACCATTGGCTGGTTGGAAACAAAACAGCAGCTTCAAAAAAGCATAACACCACCACCATCAAGGTAAACAAATGATAAAAAATTTGTGAAACCAGCACGAGCAAATACATCCCACCACCTTCCCTTGTTTGTGGGGAGGAGGGAGGCAGATGGGGTCAGCTGGTTGCTCCAGCACCAGCTCTTGTTCTGATATGTACTGTGCCTGGTCACCCTTTCAGTTCACTCAGTCTTCGGTTTCCTGTTTTGGACCAAGTGGTGTTTTTGCCTTTGCAGCTTTTCCTGTGCACAGTTGTGCAGCATGAGCCAGCAGTTTATTGTACTTGGAGCTGCATGTACCCAGAGTTATCTTACCTGTGCACACCTTAAATAATTACCCAAGTGTAATTACCTAAGTGTAGTTACAGGATGAGAGCTATGCTCGTGGTGTCCCGTCTCACCAGTACTCTGTCGTATAACGCTTTGAAACTACTGACGATGTGAGAAACCACCTTCTCACTTAACTTCTTCCAACCATCTACCATTCTGTTAGTAAAAGAAAACCTCGTAATTTTTAATATTTTTTGGCACCTCTTGTTTCCTTAGCTTGAATCTGTGTTCAGGACAGTCTGCCAAACAGGACAACTCCGGAACCTTGTAACACATCCAGTAGTAAAAGAAGAACCGAACTCAAAAGAGGCAGGATCCATTATCGAGGCGTAATCCAGGTCACGCAGGAGGTAAGCTGCAATGGCCTCCTGCACCTCATGGGGCGAGATGCAGAAGGCTGAAAACCTCTGGAAGAAAGTGACTGAAGTACTTAAGGGAACCCAGAACCAAACCCAGGAAGGAGCCGACGCCATATCAACCTCGTACAGGGAGGGGGGGGATAAAAAAAAATTCCCACCCATTGCAACAACAAGCCCCACTCAGAGAGTACCAAAACCCAAGAAGGGTCAAATGGGGCCCAAGCCCTCCAAGTCAGCCCCTCCCCAGCCCAGGGAACCTTCACACCAGGACCCAGGGCCAAGCCGTCCTCCAAACCCTCCGCCTCAAAAGAAAAGGCAAAGTCCACTGGAAAAGCTGGAAAGAAGGACCCACTGGTCAGACCCAGAAGCACCAGCTGGCGAAACAGGCTCGAATGCCTCCGTCATCACAACGGAAGGGGGAAATCCCTTGAAACTGCCTGAGTCTCACCACCAACTAAACTGCGCCGACTCCGAAACCCTCAGATGCTTTCGAGCCGAGTGAACGGGGGAGGGGGGGGGGGGGTGTGGGAACAAACAGGCAGAAATATATTCTACTGTATCACAACTCAACTAACCAGGTAAGCCAGATGGGATGGGGCCAGGTTGCCTCGTGGTGGTAATCACCACAAGTGAGTTTGGGCCAATTTGAATCCCTTGTTTAGTGTGAATTGATGTTTGGCAGTTTCGAGGCTTCATTCTCTGTGAACCCTCCAGTTGTCTGTAAAGCTTCATTGACTTTCTGTTTGCTTTTTCTGGTGGGGTGATGAGTTATCACTTGGCCCCTGAGCCTCTGTGAGAGGGGGGCCAGGTTCTGGCAGGCAAAACCAGAACTTCCTTGACTGATGTACCTTTTAGTATGGCACAATCTCGGTAAGATAGCTACAGGCAGCTACTAGCAGGCTCTCCTCAGAAAGACCTGAGACATAATAGTAGTAGTAGAGGAGTAGACATAACCCCAACAGTAACACAAGAAGTTCATGTGAAGATAACAGCAGCATATGGGAAGTTAGCAAACATAACAAGGTCATTTAAGAATCTAAACAAGAAGGCTTTCAAGATCATACACACTGCCTATGTCAGACCATTGCTTGATTGTGCAGCACCATTGTATAATGAAATTACTGGTCATGGAACATTGCATATTTTCTCTACAGACTTTTATAAGAAAACCAGGATCACTGAAGATTCTAAGAGTGCTTTTTGTAAAGTAGGACACAGAGACCAGTGGCTGGACATTGAAATGAACATGCAGTGTTCATTTCCTCTCTTTAAAGTGCAGTTTCTTCTCTCACCCATTAGTACCTTAAAAGACCAGCGTTGAATGTAATGAAATGCCATTTACTGAGTGAGACCTGGAGGCTCCCCGGAGCTATCCAGGCTGAATGGATATGTATAACTTTCTGGCATCATTCAATGTGCATGGAGTTAATGCCTACTGGGGACCACGAGCCAGAACCTGGGCGCCCCTCAGAGAGGTGCGAAAAGCAATGGCCTATAGAAACCCCTTTTCTGGGGGGGACGGGGCCTCCCAGAAAAGAAACGCAAATTGGCAATTCACTCACCTTACTGCAGCATTAGCTTCTGCTATCTTCTGACTGTTTGTTAGAAGAAAATAAACAGATCCATCCTGCCCTTCATTCTCCTTTCCCACCTCTTCATCCACTTCCAGTGCCATACTAGAATCTGAAACAAAAAACCAACATGGAATGTAATGAAACACCAATTTCTGGGTAAGCCCCCAGTGGCTCCCTGAAGCTACTATCTCTGACAGTGTGCCATATTACTAGGTTCCCTCAGTTGCATAGTTCTATTGGCCTACTGGGAACCATGAACCAGAACCTGCCCCCTGCCCCCCCACCCACCTCATAGAGGCACAAGGGAGCAGTAGCACTTTTGATACAATTTTTAGAAATTTATTCATGTCTGCCACCACCAAAGAAAGCACCCAGAAAGTCTTCAAAACTAAAGAAACCACTGGTGGCTTCAAATGAGACTGCAACCTCGAGAACTGCCAAAAGAACTCCCCCAACAATGTAAACAAACGACAAAGTTCACTAAACTAGTTCCAGCTCATTTACCCCACCTCTACCTCGTTCCAGGGAAGGAGGACGGTAGCCTGAGGGTAACTGGCTGCTTCACAATCTATGCCATCTATGAAGATGGCAACACCGCTCATGACCTGGAGGGAGGGAAGTGTTAGGGAGCCACTGGGGCTCACCCACAAGTTTGCATTTCATCACATTCAACACTGTTTTCTGGGAAGAGTCACTTGTGGCTCCCTGAAGCTAACTACCCATGGGAAAGTAAACAAATGGGTACTTACCAGGGAGGAGGGAGAACTGCAGGTATCAGAACAATGTCGAGACACTCGGCTGTGACTTTACTCAAAGCCACATAAGACCAGGCCCCTGGCACATTGACAAGATACAAAGCCACAAAAACCCTGTTGGACCTCCAAAACCTTCACACCCGAAAATCAGTCCAGGACATTAGCAAAAACCACCAAGAGAGTGGCACATGTTAGAACATCATTGGCACGAGAGTAGACTGCAGGATGGCAAGACTTCATAACACTGGACAACCCAAGAGAGACGAGTCTTGGAACAGGGAACCAAAGTGACATGATCAACCCACAAAGAATCCACCAAGGCAGAACTGGTAGCAGGAACGTAGCAGCAAAGCTATTGAACACAATACATGATGCACCAGAGAGACTTCTGACATGGATAAAAAAAATTCTGACAGACAGATGAGGGGCAGTAATCAGAGACAATGTATCTGACTGGAGGAGTGTTACTAGCGGAGTACCACAGGGTTCAGTTCTTGCACCTGTAATATTCATCATCTACATAAACGATCTACCGGAAGGAATATAGAATTATACGAACATGTTTGCGGATGATGCTAAGATACCTGGGAAAGTTAGGAGATGCAGATGATTGTAAGGCCCTTGAAATTTATCTAGATAAAATAAGTGCTTGGAGCATCAAGTGGCAAATGGAATTCAATGTGAATAAATGCTGTGTTATGGAATGTGGATTCGGAGAAAATAGATCACACACAACTTCAAATTATGTGGAAAAGAATTACAGAACTCTAATAAAGAACAAGACCTATGGGTGGTTGTGGATAGTAAGCTGTCGCCAGAGAAACATATAAAGAACATTGTGTGAGGAGCATATGCGTCACTTTGCAACTTCAGACTTGCTTTTAATTAAATGAGTGGTGAAATACTAAGAAAACTGTTCATGATTTTTGCAAGACCAAAATTGTAATATGCAGCAGCTGTATGGTGCCCAAATCTCAAAAAGCACACAAACTGGAAAAGGTGCAACGGCATGCAACAAAATGGCTTCCGGGACTGAAAAAAAAGTCATGAGGAGAGACTAGAGGCATTAAACATGCCAAAACTAGAAGATAGAAAATAAAGTTGCAACAAATCAGGCAAGGTCTCATACAGCTTGCTGAATTAACCCTTGTGTTGATCAGGGCTAATTAGCATTTGTCACCCACAGGCGCATACCAAAAAAAAAAAAAAAAAATTCTTCTTCTAAACCTGTTAATGTGTGTTCTCTGATCATGGGAAAAATAATAAAAAATTATAAGTGGCATACATTGCCGGCTATAGGGCGGGGAAGTCTGGCAAAAAACAGGCGCTGACTCAGCGTGCGTCCCAGACGGTCTGTTGATCCCAGCTGTCAGGCAGGAGTTGCCACGGAGAGATAATTACCTAATTATTTCAATGTCTCTGATTGATTTTTTGTAGTTTTTTTGCTGTAATATTATTCAATAGTGTGTAGTGTAATATATTTATGTAATAAAATGAGTGAATCATCGCTGTACTCAAAATTATTGTGTGCATATTGTTGATTTAATTAATATGTTCATCAAACAGTGAAGAAATACTTTGTCGGTTATTACACTATATACACAGGTTTATATATCTGCATGTTTTGTTCACCATAACATACCACTATGTTGGTATTATGAGTCAAAAAGCAACGAGAAGTGACCGCCACACACCAGCCAGCCACTCGCTGCCACTCGCTCCCTCAACACCTCACTGGCCCACATTCTCCTCCCACCATACTGTTTTTGTTTTATTCACTATATACAGACGTTATATATAAGTATCTACATTCGTGTTCACCATAACGAACCACTAAGTTGGCATGCTGAGTGGCAGTGGCAGTTGCTACTTCCTCCCTCCCTCACCTCACCTGACTCACCCACATTCTCCTCTCACAGTACTGTTTTTGCTTTTATTCACTATATACAGACGTTATACTGTATATAAGTATCTCCATGTTTTGTTCACCACAACTGTACAACTCAGTTGATACAGTGGTACCTCGGAATGCGAGTGTCCCTGTATGCGAGTTTTTCGGAAGACGAGCAGGATTTCCTCGGAAAATATGTCTCGGAAGTCGAGGGTTACCTCGGAACGCGAGTTTGTTGATACGTGTACAGGCCGACTGGCGCGTGGTGGCATGGCGATCGCGCCTCAGTTTACCAGTGTCTCGTGTCCAGTGACTATCCCACCTGAATTCTTCACAAGGATTTACAGTTTTTTATCGGTTTTTTGGCCATTTGAGCATAAAAGTTGTCATTATATATCTTGCCATGGGTCTCAAGAAAGCCATTGGTAAGGTTCAACCTAAGAAAATAGCTGTGAGTAGAGGCAGTAGAGGATGTCCCTTCTTGATTAAGAAAATGTGTGAAGTATGGGAAGAACTGCAAAGTTTTGTTGAAAAAACTCACCCAGATAAAGCTGTAGCAGGCCGTTGCATTGACCTTTTAAATGATAATGTGATGTCTTACTACAGACAAGTGTTAAAATGTAGGGAAAAACAAGTGGCATTAGACAAATTCTTAGTAAAACAAGCAAGTCCTAGTGGTATGCAGGCAAAATGTGCCAGTGTGTGCATACCAGTGAAGTCCTCACTGCCTGATGTGATAATGGAAGGGGACTCCCCTTCCAAACAGTAACTCCTCTCTTCCTCCCACCTCCTCACCATCTTCCATACGCCTACAGCATTCAACAGCAAGGTAAGTAATAACTTGAACATAGTTTAGTAGGTTTATTTAGATGAATTAGGTATAAAAATTTAGTTTGATGTGGGGTTTTTGGGGTAATCAGGAACGGATTAATTCATTTCCCTTTATTTCTTATGGGGAAATTAGCTTCGGAATGCGAGTTTTCGGAATACGAGGCGTCTCCAGGAACCAATTAAACTCTTAAACTGAGGTATGCTTGTATAGTTAGTTCAGGTACTAAGAGACTAAGAGACATCGCTACACACAGTCAGGTGGCGGCTGCCTCCCTCACACATTCAAGGTCAGATGCACTAAAATTTCATCCCCAACAATACTGTTTGTAGTGTTATTACCCTATATACAAATGTTATATATAAGTATCTACATGTTTTGTTCACCATAACTGTTCAACTAAGCCGGTATAATGCCCAGAGCATAGTGGCCACCCCTACCAACATGCCAAATCATCCAGATGTTGCCCCCCCCCCATCACCAAAATGGCTTCTCCCCCCACACTCCTTTTACTGTTATTACACTGTATATGCACGTTATATATAAGTATCTACATTCATGTTCACCATAATGAACCACTAAGTTGGTATGCTGAGTGGCAGTGGCAGTGGCAGCCCGCCATTGGCTGTCACTCCCTCCCTCCCTCACCTCACCTGACTCGCCACCATTCTCCTCCCACCATACTGTTTTTGCTTTTATGTACAGACGTTATATGTAAGTATCTGCATGTTTTGTTTACCATAGCGAACAACTAAGCTGGTATAGTGAGTCCAGACAGTAAAAGGTGGTCACACAGTCAGCCGGAAATGCTACCTCCCTCCCCACCAAGATTACTCCTCCCACTACAGCGCTAATTATCACAACAATCCTGCTATTATCAGAATCCTGGTCATTTTTATCACAGTCAGGGGTCTTCTGTAATAATATCATGAACATATATATTATGGCATTTTTAGGCGATGCTGTGGTCACAAGCTGAACAGCAGTGCTGTGAGCTCATGCTGCATGCATCAGGCTTGGTGGCTCACTCAATACTGAGGCCCTCACACCCGGGAATTTGGCCCACGATTTTTTTTTTTTAAATGGCGTCTGTTTACAAGAGCCCTGATGAAGGTGAGGTGAACCCCGTGTATCCGCGGGCCGTTTAAATCTTGCATAGTAGTCTCTGTAGTAGTCTTTAGTCTCCGTGGTGTAGTGGTAAGACACTCGCCTGGCGTTCCGCGAGCGCTATGTCATGGGTTCGTATCCTGGCCGGGGAGGATTTACTGGGCGCAATTCCTTAACTGTAGCCTCTGTTTAACGCAACAGTAAAATGTGTACTTGGATGAAAAAACGATTCTTCGCGGCAGGGGATCGTATTCCAGGGACCATAGGATTAAGGACTTGCCCGAAACGCTACGCGTACTAGTGGCTGTACAAGAATGTAACAACTCTTGTATATATCTCAAAAAAACAAAAAACAAATAGTACTCCAATACATCATATGATGGGATGCGTATTTTATAGCAAGTCACTCAACCCATCATATGATGTGTTGCACAACTTAAGGGTTAAGGTTGCACTGTATAAGCATTTAAAACAATGTAATGTTCTTAATAATGAAGTGATTTCAAATAACATGTGATTTGTACTGAAAACATGCATGTGAGCAAAAATTCAAGATTTGACTGCATTAAACCTAAATTTTTTCTCAATTCTTAAATCATGTAAATACAGCTTATGTTGTATCCTACAATGCAGACCCGGCATTCCTTTAAGAATAAACATTTTAACGACTGAAAATTTCCTTTCCAGACAAAAACACTAATGCAAACAATAATCATGAAAATTATGCTTCCTGAACCCTCACCTTCAGTAGAATCTTTTGTATCAGCCTCTCCAGTTTCTTTAGAACCAGGTGAAGATTCCACACTCGTCGCGGATCTTTGATGCTCAGTTAGTGGTGCAAACGACAGTAACAATGATCTGGAACTGGGAGTGCAGCTGCTGCCCTTGCCAGTTTGTTGCTTATGTTGTAATAATTTTTCTGGACTTCGCTTCCAAATTGGAAGTCTGAAAATAAATAATAGGAAATCAAACCATATTAAATTTTAACAAATTTGTCATTTCAATAAAGTATATCAATTTCAATTTGATCATGATTGCAATGTGCAGATTGTATATAGCACTTTGTTATTTCTCATCACAATATAATCTGATGATTTCTGCTCTCTTTCTCCACACAACTACATCATTACTAGTCTTGCTATCTTCTTCTTCACATGATATCCACAGTCTTTCTCTTACTCTCCTCCCCTTACTCTCCTAATGAACAAGAACATGCAGTGTTCTTGTTCTCCTTTCTTCAAAATACACACCATAATAAGAGGGATGAAACTGACACGTATTAATAAAAATCTTCCCAGATGGTGGTCATCAGGGATGGAGGTCATGCAGCTATGCTTCTTCTAAAGCTGCACTGGAGGTTTCAGTAGATAAAAGTAACAAAAGTAACCAGCCAATAAGCAGTACATATTAAGTATGGCAACAGTAAGGCACGTGAAGAAAATGCCTTCTGTCACATTTACATCCCACCATAACATGGTCTAGCCCTTAAACTGCTAAGGGGTCCTGAGGACTTTCACACCCCTGTGAGCAAGAAAAAAATCTAAAATTTTGTTTTGTCTTATTAAAATATTCATTTGTGTTCCCCGAGCACAGGAAAATAATAAAAAAATTCTGTTGTACTTACCAATGACGTAATTGAGCCGACAAGTTCGCCAATGACGTTACTGAGAAAGCGTGTTGTACTCACCTAGTTGTGCTTGCGGGGGTTGAGCTCTGGCTCTTTGGTCCTGCCTCTCAACCGTCAATGAACAGGCGTATAGGTTCCTGAGCCTATTGGGCTCTATCATATCTACATTTGAAACTGTGTATGGAGTCAGCCTCCACCACATCACTTCCTAATGCATTCCAATTGTCAACCACTCTGACACTAAAAAAGTTCTTTCTAATATCTCTGGCTCATTTGGGCGCTCAGTTTCCACCTGTGTCCCCTAGTGCATGTGCCCCTTGTGTTAAATAGCCTGTCTATCAACCCTGTCGATTCCCTTGAGAATCTTGAATGTGGTGATCATGTCCAACCTAACTCTTCTGTCTTCCAACGAAGTGAGGTTTAATTCCCGTAGTCTCTCCTCGTAGCTCATACCTCTCAGCTCGGGTACTAGTCTGGTGGCAAACCTTTGAACCTTTTCCAGTTTAGTCTTATGCTTGACTAGATATGGACTCCATGCTGGAGCCGCATACTCCAGGATTGGTCTGACATATGTGGTATATAATGTTCTGAAAGATTCCTTACACAAGTTTCTAAAGGCCGTTCTTATCTTAGCCAACCTGGCATATGCTGCTGATGTTATCCTCTTGATATGAGCTTCAGGGGACAGGTCTGGCGTGATATCAACCCCCAAGTCTTTTTCTTTCTCTTACTCTTAAAGTATTTCATCTCCCAGATGGTACCTTGTATCTGGCCTCCTGCTCCCTACACCTATCTTCATTACATTACATTTGCTTGGGTTAAACTCTAACAACCATTTGTTCGACCATTCCTGCAGCTTGCCCAGGTCTTCTTGAAGCCTCAAGCTGTCCTCCTCTGTCTTAATCCTTCTCATAGCGTCAGTGACTACACGCTGAGACAGCTGATCTACACCTAGTACACCATCATGGAAGCCACTAACATACTTTTCATCTCTGCTACTTGTATCAGAAGCAGTGTCAAGAAACCAAAAAAACAATTCATCTATAGTAACAATTCTATAACAATTCATCTGTTCTTCAGGAACAGCAGATAATACTGGTGGTGATAATACAGTACTGGCAAGAGCGATGACCTGAGGCTGCAGCATGCCTGGCACTCGCCCTGTATAGGACACATTCACTGTAGCGTCCTCATTCATGTCTGTATCACTTGTGTTAGATCTTTATCGTGTCTTGGTTCATCAGTATCACTAACCCTTTTCTTCTTCAAACAACAATGTCTGAATTTCCCCTTCAGACAGCGATCTTTCAACAGAGGACTGGAAGCTGGGGGCGCGTGCATCAGCCATGGTTGCTCAATTAGAACTGAGCCTACCCTTGGGTATGCTGGGAATTTTTTTCAAGATGGCTACTGCTCATCTTAAAAAGCTTATTAAAGATGGTTATGAGATGGAGACCTGAGGCCCCCCATCTTGTAACCAACCTACTGCGCGTTTTAAATTTTATGATATCCTAACCTCGCTTACGAGTCAGGTGGCGTACTGCCATACCCCGTGTTTTGTCGGGAGGCACAGTGCAGTGGTTAAATGGGTGCACAGTACATGGGTTAATAACACTCCTTCATAAATAGTAAATTCCATGAGAGAATAAGGCATGTAAGAAAAAACTAACATTAAATATACTAAACACAAATGTAATATCAAACCTAGTTTTAAAATGATTTGAAGGTGAAAGATATGGAAAGCGTCTGTCCATGAATCGTGTAAGCAATGGCACTTGAAGCCTCTGTGCAGCTGCATATATAGCACTCATTTCATTATGCGATCCTCGAACATCCAGACGCCCACTGTACACAAATCTGAAAAATAAAGTAGCGTAATTGATTTTTATTCAGCTTTTCTAAATTTCATGATCATACAGTATCTTTAAATTAATATAAGTGAAAAAGGTAGACCTTTACCTTTGAACTATGAATGTAATTTACATACATCACCAAAATGGTGTGCAAAAATCCAGCATTGAATGTAATGAAACGCCAGTTTCTGGGTAAGCCCCGATGCTTCCTGAAGCTAGTTTACTGATTAAGTGCAATACTACTTGAGTGTCATCAGTTGCAGAGTATGCATACCGGGGACCATGAGCCAGAACCTGGCCCCCTCGATGAGTCACAGGGAGCTATAGCATATAAATATTTTACATGTAAACTATCATTTCTGTCATCACCAGGGAAGCACCCAGAAAGGTAAGCGTATCAAAACAAACTACTGCTTTTAATATTAGACACAAAACCACAATATCAAAAGAACTCTCCTAAAAGAAAACAAGCAAGCAAAACTTCGTCCAACTAATCCCTTGCTTGTTAGCTCCACCTTTCCCCTTGTTGAGGGGGAAAGGGGGGTGCCGGCCCAGTACCAGCCCAGTTCTCTAATGACAAAAGGTTGGATGGCGGGTGATAGGGAGCCTCTGGGGCTCTCCCAGAAACTGGCATTTTATTACATTTAACGTTGATTTTCTGTGGGGAGTGCAGTCAGCTCCCTGAAGATATCTACCCACGGAGAATGAAAACCAGAGGACTTATCAGGGAGGCAAAAGCATCGCAGGCATACAAACGAAGAAGAGACTGATGGTTGCGATAGACATCCTAATGCAACACAAAGTTGCAGGGAGCCAAGGACAGTGAACAGATACCTGGTGGCCCAGACCCTGTGAAACCTTAAATCTAAAGCAACAAACAGATACAACGGAACCCAAATACCAGGAAAGAAATGCGGGGCCCATAACATGAAGATTAACGGTCATAGCATCTTTTTAATTTAGTTCACTTTTATTCACCAAATACCTATCCTGTGAGCAGTAATGAAAAACGGCTACAGACGCATATGTTTTTTTTGCAGGGATATTCCTGGGCGGGCCCTAAGCCTCTGGCTGGCCCACTAAGTGTTGCTTGTTTCTGTTTTACTTGGGCGGAGTATGAGTATTTATTACTCGTATGGTCGCTTCAGTAAGATTTTGCCATACAGTATGTGTTTAACAACTTCTTCTGCTCTGTTGAATCTAAGTTGAAATCTTAGCATATAATGATTTCAGGAACTAAACCCCCAAATTGATCAACAGTTTATGAAACTAATATCACCGTGACTTTAAGAGGCCTTAACACACAGAGTAAGAGTTTGTCGATCAAATTACATTTAGTTTTAAATTGCCTATCATGCACGCCATGCCCAGCCATTGGGGAGCGGTACAAATGTTAGTCACCTGCATACACTACTACAGTTAGCGAACTGGGGATAAATGGCTAAAATTTCTGGTAGTGGATAATTTTGAATAGAATATTCAGACAGATAGCAACAATCAGAGAGTACACACATATACACATGCACATGAACACACTCACAAATTCATACAAGCATTCACAAACACACGTACACTAGCAGCTCCTCTTCGGCTCCGGTTGAGGAACATGTATCTTTAATCAGTCAGGGGTCATCTGTAATATTGTCATCGCTAAATAATAGCAGTTATTATTTTGACATTTTTCGGCGATGCTGTGGTCACAAGCTGAGCAGCAATGCTGTTCGCTCATGCTGCGTGCACCAGCCTTGGTTGCTCCAACAGTACTGTGGCTCTCACACCTGAGAATATTGCTCACGATTTAAAAAAAAATGGCGTCTGTTTACAAGAGCTCTGAGGAAGCTAATGTGATCCCCGTGCAGCCGCAAGCCATTTGAACCATGCCTGACACCCTGTGGCGTATATATACGCCATGCGCACCGTGGGACATGTTACTCATGGCGTATATATACTCCGTGAGCAGTTTAAGGGTTAAAGTCATTTAGCCCCCCCGCGGTTTGAGGGTTAAAATGTATATATATGATGTGCGCTGTGCAGGCAGTTAGACAAAAATTGCACAGTATATACAATTTGCACAGTTAACGGGTTAACGAATTGTAGACTTTAAAAACTAGTTTCCTGTATGTAAATCTCGTCTCCTGCTTATGTGGAGTCAGAGATGTAACGTAAGATCAAGGTGGTAAAGTATTTCTGTTGTACTTGGGGGTTTTATGGTTAATTAATTATATTAAGGTAAAACTTCAGCTGGAGTTTCCATCACCCAACTGTTTCAGGGTTAGGTGATCTGCACTAGACAGCAGTCCTTTCGTACATCATTATTTATTTGGGAACTGTTTCTCTGGGGGCCGGGCCTATCCTAACCCTATTAGATGGTACTCCAGTACTTGGTTTAAACCCTAGCAGGTCCCCCAACTTATAATGGACAGCTACTAAGGGGGTCAGTCCAGAACAATTTACATTTACTCATTTCTACCAAACTACATATAACTCTGACAGAACAGTCTCAACAACAGTCTTTGTAACAGAGGTAAGACTACTGCAGTAAAGATCTTACCTTATAACTGGTTCAACACTAGCATAATTGAGGTCTGAGGGAACATGCAGTTCCCCTTGTTGTACAGGATGTGGATCCGACACTAATGATGTGCAAGCCGACACAATGGCACGATGAACCTATCAATATATAAGAATTAACTCTTACCTAAAATGCATCTAAATACTAAGAGTACAATCCATTTAACTCAAGAGAAAAAATCATTTGCATTACTGTTTCTTGAATCATTATGTCCACAAAGTCTACAGAGAATGAGAGTGCATACTATACACCAACTGATATACCTTGATCCTTGAATGCATTACATCTAAACTGCTGTAATACCAAATATGACGATCACATCTAGACAATTATGAAAGACATCCCTGGGCCAGCATAGTTAACGATATGAACTAAGTCAGTACATGAGTAGAAGGTGTAATTACCTAAGTGTAGTTACAGGATGAAAGCTATGCCTGTGGTTGATGCTGTAGATCTTGAAATATGTAGTTGTTGAAAATTTATGTAACCTAATCTCCGGTTATCCAGATAACCAGAGATTATCCGGTTTCTTTCCGGATATGGCAAAGTTTTGCCAGAAAATTGTCCACATGCAATTTTGGCTGGATAACCCAAATATTCAGTTTATCAGGCTTCAGATAACCCAACTCATACAGTACTAATTTGACGCATTTTGCAAATTGTTTCAAGCATTCTTTCACCTTTGACTGGTTCCTGCTTGTCCTGAGCCGTCTTACTTTGTCACTTGACAAAGTAGTGGGTTTTTTCCTCCTTTCGGTACATGATTGCCCCTTCGGTTCGGGATATTTTTCTAAGGAAGTGTTTTTGTTGGCGCATGCTGCTGGGATGGAGAGCTTCATGTTCTTCTCCAGAGGCAGGGGTTCTGTTCTTTTGGTTCTGGTGGGCGGTTTGTTAGTTTGCAGCCTTCTCCTTCTTTTCCAGTGAAGAATGAGTCTGCTAGCTGCCAGGGAATCCTTTAGTGATTGATGCCAGAGGTGCATCATTTGATGTGCCCGGTAGCAGTAGTTTGTCAATACCTGCATGCCACCAGCTCCACCCCGGTGGATGCTTTGTTGGATGGTCATGTTTCCTTGGTCTCTTATTCTAAGGCTCGTATATCTTAAGTTGTCCCACAGTGTCATCAAAGTTATTCTGTCAGCAGTCTACCCTTGAATCCACAATGTTCATAAATTCGCAGCTTTGGCTGCTGTTTTCTCTCACTTGTCATGGGTTGCTTTTTGGGATGAGATTTGTGTGTATTTGGGTCTTGGCGACTCATGTGATTACTGTTCTCGTCTTCCCTGGCAAGTCCCATGTTTTCCTTTTCTATGTGGTTAGTTAACTTCAAGGAGACACCAAGTAGTTTATCCCTAAAAACAAGGGTTGAATGTAATGAAATGCCTCTTTCTGGTAGAGCCCCAGTGGCTTCTTGACTCCATCCCTCCCTATTAAGTTTGTCAGTTCATTGTGCATCATTTTCAGACTAATTGGTAGCCGGCTATTGGCAGGGAACTCTGGACCACCTGTTAATTGGCCATCTGTACTAACAGATTCAAGCTAATTTCAAGTGAGGCAATTGTTTTGAATGAATCTTTTTGCAAAATTGTTAAGCTGTTTCAATGCTTTGCTTTCAATGAACCTTGAATTGTCTGTATTACTTCGCTGACTTCATAAGATGATTTTCTAGCTCGTATGATTATAATCTCCTGTTCCTTTTACCTCTGTAAGGGGGCTAGGTTCTAGCTCTGGTCCCTGGTATGTCAAACAGGACTCCTGCAAGTGACATGATGTAGTGGTGAGTCACTGTCTTGGCGAGATAACTTTATGGAGCCACTGGGGCATTACAAGGAAGAGATGTTTCATTACATTGAAACAATGAGATGGAGGCCTGGTCGAGGACTGGGCCGTGGGGACGCTAAGCCCCGAAACCATCTCGAGATAACCTCAAGGTAACATTCAACACTGGGTTTTTTCATACTTAAAAAATCCATAGATAATTTATCTATTTTCTACCAAAAGCATAGTAATGAAATCCTGCATGAAGATTTCTGCAAATCCAAGATTTGTTAGTAATCTTAGCAGTAGATTCTAAGTAGGAAAACTACATTTACCTCCCCCTAAACAAGAATGGATAATGGATTCATAATTTAAACAGCTATAGAATGAAAAAATATAAATTTCATATCAAATAAGCGTGTGCTGATGTTGTGACATGTAAAAGTTAAACTACTCTACCTTGAGCGTTTCACCCGTAGCAAACTTTAGTAGTAGGTCACACTCTTGTTCACTCTCATAGAGAAGTTGCAGTCTCTGCAGTAAGGTTGCTGCCCAGTTGTCTACCTGCATGAAGTTTGGAGAGTGATCTTGTCTACTGCTTGCTACTATAGGGGAAGCAGATGTGGTCCCCAACTCTGACATGGATGTTGCTGGTGAGCAATTGACAAAAGACACGGGAAAATTGTAATTTTCTGTCGACAATAAATCACCGTCATCGTCAATCTGTACAATGGGAATTGTGGAGGTACTTTTGTCAACCATATGATGTTCATGTTGTATATTCTTGTGATCTTCCAAACCATCAACATTACAGTTTACTGTGGAAATAGACAGTTCATTCTTGTCAACACTAATCATGTTGCATTTAGGGTTTGATACATCATGATTTAATATGTTATGACTAGATGATGCATATGATGCAGAGGATACAACCCCAGGAGAGTTATCCTCTTGTTTGGTGAGAGAGTTAGATAAACTAAATGCAAACACTGCTCCTCCAGCAGCATCTCCAGCCTTATCTGACACCAGAGGGTACGTTGTAATTGGAGAAGTAATTGCCGTAATCGTTGATGTGCCGGCAGTTAAACTTGACCTACAAGAAGCCAAAGAAACTCCTAAGTTGTTGACAGATTGTAAAGAAGTAGGAAGAGACTCACACACACATGTTAAATGCACATTAGAGGATAATGCAGCTAAAACATCACTGCTTCCTGTGGTTGTGTCTGATTCATTGGCTTTAACATCCTCATTCACTGTTACTTTAGATATAAGTTTTTTACTCTCTGAAGACCAGTCACTAGTTATATAAGCTGTGCAATCATTTTCACTTTTCCATGCATCTTTACCTACTATTTGTAATGCACAATTTCCACTATGAAAACTGTCACCCTGTCTGGGGCCATCAGCCCTTGCTGGGATACCAACTTTAACTTTATGAATGAATCCACCTTCAACAGGAAAAGCTGAACCTTCCATGTTATTATCTGCACTTTTACTTACATTTTCTTCTTTTATTTTGGTGTCCTCAATTGCATTCATAAACCTATCTTCCTTGTTTGACAGATCACATAATGAGGATTTGGATTTAGAATTTTGTTTTGGTTTCCCTTTGTCATTCTTTACCTGCATATGTTTATTTCTAGAGGCATATGTTTTCTTAATATTGTTTGTGAGGTTTTGTTCTATATTTGCACTTGGTACACTAAACACTGCACTTGTGCTTGTACTATGTTCCCAGCATGAGTTACTATTTGAATGTCTTCGTAGTGTTACAATTGATCGTGTAGTATTGCAGTCTGATTTATTTGCAACAGAGTTTACCAGCAATATTGCAGTAGTACTTTTATTTTCATTCACCGTTTTACTTCCAACTCTTGTTTTCCTCCTCCTTTTTATATTAGCAATTATGACTGGATGCTCTTGATTTTTTTCATGTATCTCTACACAATCCCTACTCCTTTTCCTATGTGACTTGTTCTTTGCTGCCATACTGATGAACTCTGAAAAAATAAAAATTTCATATAAATAAAAAACCAGCCATGATGGTAATGAAACACCAATTTTTGGGTGAGCCCTGATGGGCCCCTGAAGCTTCTATCACTGATAATGTATTAGCTATTGGGTCGCATCAGGCGCAGTGTTCTATCTGGACTATCAGAGAGCCGCCACTGAACACAACAGATGATGCATCCATGCCCGAACCAACCAATCATCAATTTCCATCCCCCCGCCGGCACTCGGTTGGTAATCTTGGGCATGGTATTTGGTAATGGGGGATTGGGTAGCACTATATACAGTGTGAGTTTACAGCACAAGGTAGGAAACTATGAGGACGAAATTAGGTACTTTTCATTTTGTCTTTGAATAAGGCAAAAGTTGGACAGCTTTTCAATTCGTTAGGAGAGAATTCCATAGACTGGGTACCTTTATTTGCATAGTGTTTAAATAGATTTAGTTTGACTCTGGTAATATGAAAGAGATTTATTTCTGGTGTGGTGATTATTGGTTCTATTATATCTGTCCAGGAAGAGTTTCAGGACAGGGTTTGCATTTACATATACAAAACAGGGTTTTGTATAAGTAAATGACATAAGAGAATGTGTGGAGTAAGTTTATGTTTAGCATGATTATGGATTTAAACAGGAGGGGCTGAGTGTTGTCTAAAAGCAGAGTTTGTTACTGTTCTGATAACAGAATTTTTCTGGGTGATTATACACTTAAAAATAAACTTGATCACACAGGACATTAGTAAGCAATTTTACCAAGGTAGATACAATTTATTTATTTATTTATTTATATACAAGAAGGTACATTGGGTTTGTGAGAATACATAGCATAGTATTTACAATCTTGTAAAGCCACTAGTACGTGCAGCGTTTCGGGCAGGTCCTTAATCTAACAGATAATTTTAAGTAGGTAAATTCTAGCAGAATTAATAAAATGATAAATACATTGCAAGAAAAAAAATGAGATGAGAGAGATTAGTAAGTATATTAAAGCTCCAATTGGTTACATTGACAGCTTGATTGGTAATTTAAACAAGATTAATAGACACCATACAGCAGATTGATAGCACATATAAGAAGACAGCAATGATCATAATTACATGACATTGATGACAGCATGATCACAATTACATGACATTGAAGAAAGGACAAAAATGTTAACTAAAACTTTAGATAATGGTAACAAAAACATATGTTGGGGGGAAATGTGAGCATACATGATATGCAAATTAATATTTTATGTATTTGCATAAATACTGGAGAGTATTTATGAGATTACATAGCACTGATGTTTTTACATTCTTGTAAAACCACTAACAGGCTGTAATTGGTGCGACTAACACTACTGAAAAGCAGCAATAGGAACAAAAGATATTGATTATTAACTACCATTATCAAGAACTACCAATTGCAAAAACGAAAATGCCAATTGAGAGTAAAGAGTTGACAAAACAATCTAATCTTTTCAACACCTTCTTCCACTAAAATGGTTTGCCAGGTCCCAATAAGAACACACAAGTGCAGAACACCAGAGTACCAATGACCAGAGTGTAGGGAAGGACGAAGACTGACCTTGAATACCATGAGCTTAGACCATCAGAGGCGAGGGCCACTCTTATGGCCCGACTCCGACACTTGTCACATGTAAACAAAGGTGCCAGCGGCCATGGTCTTGGTGGGATGAGGAGCGAGGAGCGCACGCGCCGCCCTCCCGCTTCTGAGCCCATTGTTGGTGTGACGAGCTGCTTGGAATTTTGTAACTATCTCATCAAGATTATAACTTGCTTAGTTATTTGAATTGTGGGGCTCAGTCCCTGAGTCCATTATGTGCCTCTGTAACACGGTCCACTACCGCCACTTCCACTTCACGAAGGTCCCCCCCCCCCATTTGCCTTGATGATCTTTTCCAGCTGTACTTTAAAAGTTATACCGAGTTTCGGCATTTACGTCTTCGGCGGGTAGGCGGTTCCATTTTTTTCTTTACCTAATTTACCTAAGGGCCATTAACCCTAGTATCCTCGACGAGAACAGGAAGCCGGCGGCTTGTCGATGGTCCCCCCATTTGCCTTGATGATCTTTTCTAGGTATATTTTACAGCACCACACCAGATTACAAATACCTATTAGATATCGCAAGAGTAAAACTTAAACAAACATGAAATGCTCAGCAAATCATGGGACCCAGAGTGTGGAATGACCTTCCCAATCACATCAAAGGCTGTATGTACTTCTCTCATCCAGCTTAAGAGAAAAAATAAGTACTACCTAATAAACTACATTTAACCTATCTTATATACCTCCTAAATGTCAACCCATGTCTTGCTATTTTCAAACAATACTGTTTGTTGACCAACTTGTACAACTTATGGGAGCATGGGCATGAATAGCCCGAAAGTGGTGGCCCTTTTGAGCCATTACCAGTATCAATAGAAGATACTGAAGATCTGTGGAGGTGCGACTGCACCCTACGTGACGGGAGATGTCTCCCGTGGTCGTCAATTCTCATATAGTTTCCTTACATTTGGTGACTACACCTCACCTTTCTCTACTAGGATAGGAGGATGTGAGAACTGTTACCTGTAATTAGGGATAGGATTATAACTTGTGTAGTGCTAATTAGTTACGCCATTAAGATAATAAGATAATGGAGCGAGTATAAGGATTACTCGCTACAAGAGCAATGAGCACCAAGGTCGGCAGGGAGCGACACAGTTTCCACATCTGCAGATCAACCGACTCTCCTTTTTTTTTTTGAGATATATACAGGAGTTGTTACATTCTTGTACAGCCGAAAGAAGCCTGAAGAAAGAAGTCAGATGAAGAACCAAGACTGAGGCGTCTCCACCCAACGCCTACACACCACGCTACTCTCCACTTCACCTCAACCCCTGGAACAGACCCTCCAAGCGCACCCAGTCAACCACGCTACCTCCCGCCGCCCAGGGACATGTCAGAATACAAAATCAAGATCAATAATCAAGAAAAATCCTCGACACCAACCCTAGGTGGACAGGTCACGGAACTTTTTAGCCTCCTCGTTCTATTCACATTCTCTTCTGGAATTTCAGTTCCCCATCCTTCTTTCTTCCTTCCGCCCAACTTATCAAAGCCCTTTGGACATTGAAGTGAAGCGAAGTTCTCCAACAATCTGAAGCAATTGTGGCCTGCCAAGCCACAGTCTCTCATCTACAACAAAGAATCTACCGCCTCCTTGACTTTTCGTCGAAAAAAAACTCAAGCAATTCACAACCTCCAAGCTGTAACAAGTGACACAACAGAGCGGATAACCAAGATTAAGACCGAGGACACCCAACCAAGACAATCCTTCAAAAACTAGAAGAACACATAAATCTCCTCAAGATGCACCAGGGGGGCCTCTGAAGATAATATAGAGCAACAGCAACTGCACAACTCTCTGATCACTAGCTCTGCTGATCTGCCAGACGAACAAAAAGATGAGAACTGCACTAATGTAGCCCGGGACTTAATAATTCAAAGATTAAAGTTAACGTTGATATCAAATTCGCTATCAGGTTAGATAAAAAAAAAAGTCACCGTAATGCTAGGCGAATGCTGATTAGACTCGCAAATCCCGCTGCGAAATATGACCTCATTCAATCAGTTGCACGTCAAAAAACCACCCTTCATGTAAATGAGTGCCTTACCAAGCAGCGTGACTCCCTCCTCTACAGGCTGCGTCAAATTCACAAACAAAACTTAAGTCTTATCAAGCAGTGCTACACTAGGAATGGAACGAACATTGTAAAGAAGTGCAGGAAAACTATAAAATAAAATGTGATCGACAACAAATGGTCTTCTTTAATGACTGTGCATAACTGAAAGCCAGCATTCTTCCAAATGCCAATACTGAAAATATCTCATGAGTGACCAAGCCTTACCTAGGTAAGGTTATCTTGGACAGTATTCAAGATGCTGTCTTTCACTCTTTTGGTTAAATAATGCTCACTCATCCACAAAAGTTCCTAACTTCTCAGTAATGTCTCCATATACTAACGTAAGCATCTACCTCAGTATCTTAGCAAAAGCGTACTTATTCATTTTGTTATATTTATTACCATTAAGTTTAATGAGAAAATCCGTAGGAGCCATGATGAGGATTCGACCCGATGTAGTGTGTGGTCCCACGCACACACATAAATCCAGACAATCAGACCATGACATGGTAAAAGGATTGCAACCTGGAGTTCAGTTGAACACACGAGGGTTTCCTGAGGCTTCCACTGAAGCCGGAATAGGAAACCGGCCTCAGTGGAAGCCTCAGGAAACCCTCGTGTGTTGAGCGGAACTCCAGGTTGCAATCACTTTACCATGGTTTAATGTGCAAGAGAGCAAAAATAAATACCACACACCTGCAGGGACCAACCTGTGGCCACACACGACATACCCCCACTTACCCTCACTGACTTGGGGGCCCATGAATTAGTGTAAGCTAGTGCCTGTTGTCCGTGACGTAAGATCTTATTGTACATGTTAACGCAAGGTACCGCACACTACGTGCTATAGGAGCGGGTTTATCAAGTAGTACTACACACTACGTGCTATAGAAGCTGGTTTATTAAGTGGTACTACACACTACGTGCTATATGAGCGGGTTCATCAAGTGATACTACCCACTACGTGCTATGAGAGCGGGTGTATCAAGTGGCACTTGCACACACTACGTGCTGTAAGAGCACGTAGTCCTGGCACCCATAGTCATGAAAAAGTAGTCAGTACATGACTATTGCATGAAATACGACCTAATTACGAAGCTGAAATATTATCTCTAAGAGGTTTAACCTTTCTTCTTCCTCTACACTTAATATCTTTAGAGACTATGTGGGGGATCATAGATGCCGCATCCTCCCCAAGATTTACACCTTTACCAAAACAAGAAATGACGTGGGCAATATAATCAATAAGAGATTTCACAGTATATCATATGATTACCTTTTGAATGTGAAATGTAGAAATTTGATATCAATCAAAATTTCCTAAACAATTTGAAGACGGTAAAAAATGAAGCCATGAGAATAATCCCAAGATTATTCTCATGGCCCAAGTAATACTATTACTGAGATAATGATGAAATTATTGAACATACAGAGTACAATATTGAGGATAATGTTGAATTTCTATACAGAGCTGCATACTAATATGCAGCTTCTAAAGCCACTAATACGCACAGCGTTTTGGGCAAAGCGAGAGAAGTACTAGGAGTAGTAATGGAAATTCTGCCCCTTGACTATAAGGTTAAACATCTTTCATGGAAAAATATAATGAAATTTCCGAAAAGTAACTATTCACAATGAACTATAGAAGCCCTTGAACGGGCTAACAAAAATTGCCGTAGCCGACGCTTTAACACGCCGACCCAGCGGGGTATTGGTTAAAGTTTTCAACTAGCAATAATCGCACCTCGGATGTACCTCATTGGTTACGATACTGCCACTGCGCAAAGCTGTCAACCTATTGGACTATATGCACCAGCCTCCAAAAACTGCGGACCAAATTCTACTACCTGTTTTCCATGTTATTACTTCTTTGACGTTATTTAAAGAATAAATGTTTTGCTAAAACTTTATTTATGTTCATAATTCAGTTTAATTTTGATTATTATATTAATATTTAATTAAGCGTTTGGTCACTTGCATGGAAACTATCATATGATTTTGTTCTGCTCAGTCATGAGAAACCTTTACGAAAGAAAACGCGCATCGAGTGGAAGGAGTAACTTAAGAATCATCTAAAAACTTTATTCATATCAAATCAAATGTTTATTCAGGTAAACGTACATACATAGAGGATTCGTTACAAACATAATGTTGGATTTAAAGATAGAGCTAGTACATACAATACCTAAAGCCACTAGTACACATAGCGTTTTGGGCAAGGTAGTTACAGAATGAGAGCTACGCTCGTGGTGTCCCGTCTTCCCAGCACTCTTTGTCATATAACGCTTTGAAACTACTGACGGTCTTGGTGAGGTGAGGAAAAAACACTTAGACTTTAACAACTTATATAAAAAATCCAAACAACATTGGCTTCTCCAATATCTGGTAACTTGTCTGTAATGATCACTTATACCATTAAATGATAATTCAATTTTGGTTTATACATAAAAGTTAATAATCACTAATTTAAAGATATTTTTTATATAGTAATTAAAAAATGTTTGATACAGGTATCTGTAAACAAATGTCATAAGTAATTAAAAAAAACAATGGAAAAATTAACCAGTAAATAGCCATAGGCTAACTACCTTGAACGCAATACCCTTCAGCATATTTAAATTTTTTGAGTCAGACATACTGTATATAAATCCACAATAGTAGTGTAAAAAATGCCAGTCAGGCTAATATGGACATATATATATATATAAATCCAAAATACTAGTGTAAAAAATGCCAGTCAGGCTAATATATAATTGCCAGATATAAGGTAATATAATTACTACTCAAACTAACAATTTTTATCAGGCCAATATAATTGCCAGGTTATGCCGACATAATTGCCAGAATAAAGCTAATATAATTGCCAGTTAGGGTAATAATATTGTCAAATCAGGCTAATGTAATTGCTAAGTTTGACCTAATATAATTGCCAGGTTCAGGCTAATATAATTGCCAGGTTCAGCCTAATATAATTAGCAGATTAAGGGTAATATAATTGCCTGTCAGGATAATATAATTACTAGTGAGGGAAATATAATTGCCAGACTCAGAGTAATATAAATGTGAGTCAGTCAAATATATCCTAACTGCTGAGGTTTGGTTAGAGTAATATATATATATTTCTGACTTGGAAAATGATAAATGCCATAGTCAGGACAGTATAACTTCTGAAGTTAGACCAGACTCAGGCAAATACGTATGATGAAGGTACCTGAAATAAATGTCAATCAGGATAATATACAGTATATCAATTTTAGAGCGAGTTCAATGTCGAGTCATGAAGCAAGACAACCTGGGAAAAACTTTGATATTTCTAAACAGGCAACTCAATTGCTCAAAAATATGCCTAAACAAAAATATTACAAAAGGACATCAGTTTGTGAAAGAATCTAATGAGCTTTTATTTCCTGAATAAACACTAACTTCTATTTTTCCTGTCAATAAAATGTTCTCATCTTAAATACATTGCAAACTGTTTTCTACACCCTGCTCCAATGTTTATTCATATGGTTATTACAGTAAATATGTCCTTAACTTAGCTACACACACTTTATTATATTTTAAATACAATACAGTATATTTCTTAATTTTTAAGAGAACCAAATGAGGAAAGCACATTATTATTATTAAAATAAATATGCACAAAAATCTAACAAAACTTGATATTATCTTACTTTGCTAAAACAAAGAAATATTTCTTTACCTATGAACAATTTCTAGTTTTTCTACACTGGCAGGTTCCCCTGGTGCTTGCTTGGTCTATGAGGTGCATTTATCTTCTATACCAACAGCTTTCCTGGTGCTTGCTTGGTCTACAAGGTGCACTTATCTTCTATACTAACAGCTTCCTTAGTGCTTGCTTGGTTCATGAGAAGCATCTAAGTTTCATAAAAAAACAAAATATTAAATACCTTCATAGGATGTCCAACTGACAAGGTGAGAGCACAATATTTTCAAGATAAAGTTCACAATTTCCAAATTGTATGATAGGATAATAGTCAGCTAATGTACTAATATGTGTTATTATACTTTAACATTCTCTGAATCATCTCACACACTCATAATATTTAGCCTATCATCCGAATGTACCATCCTATGCCTCTTCATATTTCTAAGTTGACTAAATCTCTTCCCACACTCTGGACACTCGTGAGGTTTATCACCTGAATGCACCACCATGTGCTTTATTAAAGTTCCACGTTCTCTAAATCTTTTGCCACACTCGGCACACTCAAAGGGTCTTGCATCCGTATGCACCATCAAGTGCCTCTTCATGTTATGGAGAAGACTGAATCTCTTCCCACACTCTGGACATTGGTGAGGTTGATCACCGGAATGTACTAACATGTGCCTGTTCATATATCCAAGCTGACTGAATCCCTTCCCACACTCTGGACACAGGTGAGCTTCCATCTTTATGATTGGTGCAGGTTGTGTGAAGGTTTCTCCTCGGAATGACTGTAAGAGCAGAGATGTTGAGATGTCGACGCTGGAGCATCAGTGGTGACGGCTTGATTGTTGTGTCTAATAATTAGACTTGATGTGAGAACTTGGCAGCTGATGCTTCTTCTGCTTCTTTATGATAAATACAGGTTACCTGATAGAGTTCCACAAACGATCAGGTGTGGAAACTCACTGGATAGTGTTGTTGAACGTTGTAATCGCCGACGCTTACACTCCAGTGTCTAGTATTTCATTTTCTTTATATCATGTGTTTTGGGTACACTATTATTTTTTTTTATATTTATACATGAAGGTACATTGGGTTTATGACGGTACATAGCAATGATGTTTTTACATTCTTGTAAAACATATTTGTGGAGGCATTCTAGACCTCTGTGTTGGTTTCAACGTCTCTCACGTCAAGTTCAAGTATGTTTATTGAGATAAGCAATAAATACATCTCAAAGGGATAGAGTAGCTTAGGCTATTTCTACCCCCCTCTACTTCAAGTCCCTCAAGGGGCGCACAAATTCAGTGAGTACAAATAGACATATAACAGTACAAGAATCCCATTTAACATTGCATACAGCAAGTACAGCATATAATTGTTACACTCTTGGGGCAAAATTCTTGAAGCATTGAAGCTTGTAGCTCCTAAGTATACTGTCTATTATACCATTATCACACATCCAAACAATTTGATGTGGTACACTATTTATTTCCTTATTTCTATATTTTTCAATAAGGTGACACTCTAATACATAATGTTCTAAGGTGTGGGCGTGCGGCATACTACATAATTTACACTCCTTATCTTTTTCACTGACATAAACACCGTATTGCCAGATATATTTATATCCTAATCGTAATCTCATGTAAATTGAATCCTTCCAAGTAGACTTTCCTTTACCATAAGTGAAGGACGAATTTGTATTTATTATTGAATAATTCTTAAGTGTGTTACTACTGTCCACCATTGCCATTCTCTTTATCATTTCTTCACCCTCCTGAATCACCTTGAGTCTTGTTTTTATTTGTTTCAAGGTTAACTGACATACAACATCAACAAGAGTTTTTTCAGTGGCTCTCTTCGCTATGTCATCAACTACCTCATTCAACAGTATTCCCACATGTGAAGGGATCCACATGAATCTTACTTTATACCCAGTTTTTTCTAGTCTCTTAACATTCTCTCTACACTCTATCACAATATTCTGATATACTGGGCGTCTGCTATTTAAAGACTCTAACGCTCCTCTGCTGTCAATAAAGAAGCAAGCATTTTTACCACATTTGACTACTTCCTGTAGTCAACAACTGAAGTTGTTAACATCAGTGGGATCACCACATTTGTGGACAGGGGTTACTCTCGTTTTTTTTTTTTAGAATTTTCTGAGGTTGGAAGAAAACGTGCTCAGATTGGGGACTTGTTTATTTTTGCGCGCGCAGCTTGGGCGGTTAAAGTCAGCTTCCAGACATACGTTTTCTCTTCCTCAGAAATGTAACGTTAAAGTTTAATCAACATCATCAACGTTGATTCTTCGAGTAATTAACAGTACACTTGGATACTGTACCCACTGGAGTATTGAAGCATGAAGCGAACAGTTCCAGGAAAGTTATATGCATTACGTTCTGGTTGTATAAGCCTCGTCAATAGTCCGTATGGACACAAATGATACATTTTCTAACAAAAGACATTTTTAGAATATTTCTTCTCTGACACCAGTTTAATATATGGAAGATTCTCACATGGTGAAGTTTATTATCTGAGTTTATCTCGTGTCAAAGCTGACGTTAGAATGTGGAAGTGTGAGACATAAGTGATTATAGCATATAGAGAATAAGCCACAATAACGCGGATAAAATAAACAACTGAAGACACACTTATGAAAGGCAAGTAGTGACGATTCTGTCTATCCTGGACCCTTACTTAGTCGCAACTGGAACTAATGTCTTGAATTAGACACAAGGTCAGTCTAACTTATAAACGTAATGACTAAGAAAGGGAAGAAGGAGGAGTAAACATCTGTCTACCGAACTGAGAGAATAAAAGTGTACAGGTAGGTGTGGGCGAATGAAATAGTGGCGAAGTAGGGGATCGTACACCCCGTCCTTAGACCAAGTTCATTCCATCCAGCGGTCGACCCCAAAGATGCATTCATCAATTTTTACATGCTGTTTATTCAAAACAGGCATTTTCTCAAATATAAATTAATATTATAATATATTAGCATATTGTGCATATATGGGCATAGGTTAGGTTAGATGTTTAGGTTAGGTTAGGTATTTAGGTTTTGTTGGCGATTATTTGTATTTGTAGTATATGGGTGAAACATTTACAGCGTTGTGGTTCTAATAAAAGACGTCAGCGAAGCACTTGTTTCGGAAGTGTTCGAACGAAATCAGTTGTGAGTCGTGTGTAAACCGTTTTTCATTAATAAACAAGGGGGTTGGCGGGTGCATGGAATCACTTTTGGGTCTTTCTTTAGAAGACGGGCTGCTGAGAGGTATGTTGAAAGCTTCGGGACGTTCCGGACAGCCAAGTGTGAAGCTGAACCAAGGTAACGTGGGGCAGCACCAGAGCGGAACCTACAGAGCGTGATTGGCAGTTAGTGAAGTAGGTTTATCCTTAGTTTGTTCTCCGAGTGGTTCTATTTCCTCGAAATAGAACCACTTTTACGTTCCTTGTAAAGATAGTTTCGTTACATACTTGGTACGTTTACCTCTAATTATAAATTTATAGCCTAATTTTTTTTTCTAGTTCGTGTTTGTGAATCCCGTGACTAGTAGGAAGTGGCCTATGAACATGGTGCATCCCAACACAACTTGGTCGGCTGCGCCTAGCATAATCAACAAGGCATACTTTACTAGTGCTGGACTGAAGAAGCTTATCTGTAGGGAAGTCCGTACTAGCGGGCGGATAGTGGTGATCACTGGGTGTGACAGTGGGATTGGCTACCAGCTGGCAAAGTGCGCCAGGTCGTGGGGGTGGACCGTGGTGGCCACTTGCCTGGATCTGGAGGGAGAGGCCGCGGTCTCACTCCGTCAAGCTGGGGTCCACACCGTCTATCTTGACTTCACTAAACCAAATATGCTAGATTGTCTCTTGGATAAGCTACGCCAGCTAAAGGAAGAAAACCAAGGCGAGTAGTCTTTTGTGTTTAATGGGTTACAAATTGTATATCTAGATTTGTCTGTATGGTAATAGCATGTCTAGATCCTGCCCGAAACGCTGCGCGTACTAGTGGCTTTACAAGATTGTAAATACCATGCTATGTATTTTCTCAAACTCGGTACCGAGTTTGTACTTGGCAGCACTGCCGGTGACTGCTGCCTCGATAGTGGCGGCTGGTTGTCCATATTAAACGGCTAGTGTCTTTGCAACTTGGACATGCATTATTTTATGTTGAGCATTCATAAATTCAAACTAGCTGCTATAATCTAAAATGTTAAAGTTTACACTAGTATGCTTTGGTAGTCATGGCTGACATAATACCACTGCGACCATCACCTGGTAATGTGACTGTTCTCAACTCCCACCCACAGTGTTGTGGTGTCTAGTCAACAACGCCGCGATGATCACGTATGCCTTCCTGGAGTGGCATACGAGCCCCATGGTGGATGATCAGGTCAAAGTTAACCTAACGGGCTCCATAGAAATGACTAGAGCCCTTCTACCAGTCATCAGGGAAAACCAAGGCAAGTAGTCTTTGGTAATGTTTTTACTAATTACTAGGCTTGCTTGTATGTTATGATTAATCTCTAACCCTTCCCACCCTAAACCTCATTCCATTCTCCTGCCGTCATTCCTGAAAGGGAGGAGGAGAGTCCAGGGTGGACTAACTTGCCGTTCACTTGATGTGTACTAATATTAAATGACACGATGGAGTTTTCCAAACGGTGGTAAACGCCCTCTCCTTGTTTGCCTTGCTAAATTCACGGGTCGCTAATTCTTAGTGTTGGTGCTCGCTAGTATATTCTCGCCAGGTTGTATTCAATCATGACTCGTCATAAAGTTTACATATCAAATGGATAAATGAAGCCCTAGTGAAAATAACTCAAACCATTAAGTTTTTTACGGAATGTAGGAAAGGTGGGAGTTAAATGGATTTGGTACAATGTTCTGTTCAGAGTCGTTTAGAAAGAACGGGATAGTAATGGTAGGCTATGTAGTTTGCAAACGGTGCTTCCTGCCAAATCTTTTTTTTTTTTTTTTTAAATTAAAACTGTAGAAGTTTTACTTGGCTATCTAGTCTAATAACTATAAATTTGCTAGTTCACTCGCCAATCTTGGGTCCCAAGGAAGTGTTGCGTTCCATATCTTTTCACCTCCCAGTGCTAGCAAAATCTTGCTACTATTATACTTAATCTAGTTAGACCCAGTAGGGTCTAACTAGGGTGTTTATATAGCTTCAGGGCACCAATCCCCCAGCCACTAGGCATTGCAAGAAGCCACCCTTAAGCATACCTGATACACATAAATGGCAGATCTCGTCACAACCCACAAGATATAACAATAGCATAAAAGAATTTTAAATTTTTAGTTTTTCGTATATGGGACACGAAAGGAGGTGCACGGTATATCATTAAACTAAAGTTAAAGGCAAAAAAGCTGCCCAAGCGGCAGGATTGGTGACTTGACAGCAGCATACATGGAAAAAAAACTGCAGTGGAAGCTCCTAACAAGGCCCCGGAGTGGGTGGGTAGTAATGTATGCACAGGGGGGGTCTCGCCGGCCGCCGCCTTACCCACTCGTGGGCTCCGGCCAGGTCATCCACCCTATTGTGAGAAACCATTTGGAGAAGTGGTACTCCAGATGACTACTCTGCTTAGATAGTTGGTTGCCAGCTATCCTGGCTGTGGTTAACCTAAGACTATATTGACCCTTGTGCACCCTGTACAGTGATCCTGGGAATAGGGTGGTCTAGCTGCCCCCCTTGATGTGGTCTTGGACCATATATATTCTGTAGATGGAATATGTCCAGGTCAGGGCTTTCAGAGCAAATCTAAAGGTTGCTCTTAGTCCCATATCTTGAAGATCTCGCACACACTCCTTGCATCATCCTCTCCAATTAAGGGATATCAGAGGCAGATGCTGTGTGCTTCCTGGTATATTACCTGACCTTTTTGAAAGATCTCTGGGGTGCCGTACTTGTCGCACTTGCTCTGATATGGGCGGGAGAGTGGAAAGTTGTCAGCAGAGACCTGGGTGTCTAATATAAACGCCTCGTCACCTGTGCAAGCCATGTCAGGCTTGCAGAAGGTCCCTCCATCCAGTATACGGACTTCACGTTCCACCTCAAAACATCTTTGCCGCAGGCGGCCGGCTACGAAGAGTGTCATGACGTTTCACCCGAGCCTCATGTGTTGTAGCATGTCTGAGATGTGGCCCAGGGTCCCTGGTTTCTGGCAAAGTATCGCAGAGACGAGAAGCCTCGGGTGAACCCCTAGTTGCTTTAGATGGAGTGGCTACGGCGTTTGCCTTGATCTGGATGGCATGAGCAAACTTCCTCCGTTTAGCAGAAGAGTACCGGATGAGATTTTTAATTTCCTGTGCAAATAACTTGCAGCTGAGCCATGTTGTATCATGCTGCATGTGAAGTTGAGCTGGACTTGGGTATGAAGTTTTAAATGGTCGAATTTTGGGAAGTTTTGACAAAAGCAAACTCGTAGACACTAGTGGCAGGAAGCCATTGGCTTGTTGGATGACGTTATAAACCTTTACACAACCGTGATCAGACAACACTAAATAATTACTAGCTAATGACTTAATTGACGAGAATTAGGTTGGGAGAATATTTAGGCAGATGCCTCTAGGAATAAAATTTTAGTAATGGTGAACGTTTAAATTGTAATCTGAAAGAACTGCTAAAGTAATACTATAACCGGCAGCTCCCCTGTAGTTGTCACAACGGACAGAAAATTGTGCAAAATTGACTTCAACTGATGGACCACTGTACAGAAAATGTAGTTAGCCAATATGATGTACTTCATCGTATTTTGTTCGTTGGGGATTTTGATGTTCAAACGCAATAAATTATAAGAGGTTGATTTAAGTGCCCTCTACACAGCCTAAATTACAAAAGATAATTCTGCAAATGCCTCGAATTAGCAAATTGTCTACTTGGTATTCTATAAGCCTGTAAGTCTGGTTTTCGTCTAAATCGATGTAAAGGTAACAATCTTGTAACTACAAAAGTTAGACTAGCTAGTACAGCTGGCTCTTTATCTAAGATCTTCAACTTTATTAAATAGCAAAATAGGCTTGTTACTAAAGATGTACTTGTATAAAAATGTTTGACTAGACTTGATAGCACAAAACCTTAGTGTTAATGTATTATACAACTAGTCTTATGAGCGCTAGTGACTGGCAGGAATCCTCGTAACATAAAGGAACCATAAATTTAAGGCTCGGCCGATAAGTTAATGCTTAGAAGGGATTGTGCTCACTGTGATCCCCAGTGGGGCAGCCATTACTAGATTGGGTTTGAAATAGAGCTAAAAATGGCAGTTATAACTTGATTCATAACCATTGGCTTCTTGCAAACTTCTAACCTTGAAACGTTTCTCAGGTCGGGTGGTGATGGTTTCTTCCCCAGCGGGGCAGATGGCTGGGCCTAATATGACAATCTACTGTGCCACAAAGTGGGGCATAGAAGGCTTCACCCAGAGTCTACGCTTGGAGTTGGATCACTCGGGAACCTCTGTTGTCCTCGTTAGACCATGTGAGTAATCTCAATCTTCTACAACATCTCATTTTCTAAGACTTTACTCAAATGATCGCTGTTTATATAAAATTCCTCAGATTTGTGCCAGTTCGGCAAGTTAGTCTTCAAAGTTTGATGGCTTTTTGAAATTTTCGTAATTAACTAGAGAATATAGTGCCACTTAAAGTATTCAGACTTTGGAGGGGGGAAGGGGGCCGTAAATTCCTGCAGTACTGTGCTGGATTCTGAGATTAGTTTTGATCAAATTTGAATTTCTTTTAAGAAACATGGAGATAGAAAAGTCTAACTATGAAAGTTGTTAATGGCGAACTGGCGTTGCTCTTGGCTAGAAAGATTCCCAATTTATTCAAATTTCCTTGCATGTTACTGTTGACAATTACTAATTCTACTAATTCTGTCAGGTAATCTCCCTAACCGCACTGGAATATTGAGCAAAAATGCTGCGCAGCTGAAGATGATGATTGAAGCTGCGAGTGAAGAGACTAGAAAAGCCTATGGAGCTGAAATGAGGGAGACACAGCTGGCGTTCGAGGCAGCCTTTGGCAATGTTTCCAAAATACAAGACATTAATGACCCGTTCCTCATAAAATGTTTCAGGTATTCTGATGCCTACACCACAACCTTTAATTTAATGAAGTTATAATATTTAGGTTAATCAATTTTTTTACCGAAATTGTGATAAAACATTAATTTAAAATGACTTGTAACATGGTATCTTCCTCTTCAACCCTCTCCCCTAACTTTTCCCATTGACTGGCATGTTTATACATGCCGCAGGTTGCATTTCAAATGGGGAACGTGTAGCGTGCCGGTGATTGCCTTTTCTGAAGTAGCAGTTGCTTTTAATTTGCCCTTGGTTTAGCTCGGAAGCCATTTGTTTCATGGTTTAAGTTTTTGGAGAATGCTAGATTTAAATTTGTCGTCCACACTTTCCTGCTCCATGGGACAGTCCTGTCCTATTATTTTTGTGGCCTGCTGCTGTCCTCGCCAATTTTGCTGGACAACTTTTTGTTTTTCTTCCCCCCCCCCTCCCCCCCCGTCTTCTCATTTCTGACTGTCATTTCCCACTGTCCTTGTGCCCGTCTTGATCATTCGTTTGGCCTTTTTTGATGCCCGGATGTTAGAGGCATACTCTTGCAAATGTAAAACTGTAGTACCCAACGTCTCGAACGAGGGGACCCTTTTATTGTCAATCCTCCTTTAGTCACTGAACCTGATCTCGACGGACTGACGGTTCTTAAGGTGGCGTTTGTGGGGGCGCATACTCACGACGCACCCCTAGGGGGGGGGGGGCGACGGCAAGATCGGCAACATGTCTCGTGTTGGGTGTCCTGCCTCTAATTGTGGTGGGTGTAGGGGCACATTCGTGAAAGTCTTTCCTCTCGTCTGTCGATTAATGTTCCTCTTTTTACCTGCTCGGGCTCGTGGGGTGGGCGACCAAGCCTCAGAGTCGGCCTGTGTTGGAAGACCGGGCTCTGTAGCCCCTGCTGCACTGGGCCCCGACCTTGTTCCTCCTTTGACCCTCCTGACTACTCTCCCTTCCTTTGTGGTTGGGTAGAGCCCCAGTGGCGACCACCTCGTCCCCTGGCACGGCTCGGTCTCTAGTAGTGATTGACTACTGTGCCTTTTAACACCTCTGGGGGTTCTCAATATCGTCCTTACCACGGCCGCACTCGCTAGATTCCTTCCCGTGCCGATGCGTTTAAAGCCTTGCTTCGTGGGCCAAATACTTTGATCTCCCTCTTGATTCTACTACACCTGACGCTTTCTCCCGCCACAGATACTTTGTTGATTCAGTAGATGTTTCGTTACCTTCGACCCCACCCGTCTCGGTACAGGTGTTGTTGCTGCTGCTACTCTGGATGCAGCCTCCCACTTGGCCGCCTTTTCCTGCCATGGCGAGACCCCTTGTTAGTCTCAAAGAACGCTCGGTTGAATACCATTGTTGGCACTATTCTCCTCCCGCCCCATGTGTCGACTGGTGTTTACAATCTGCGGGACTGCCACGAAGATATTCGGCATGTCCCCGAAGCCTAAGGCCATTCTGTCCTCCAGGTGGACTCTCTTACTCGTCCCTCTCGTGGTCGTCGCCTTCAACCCCGTCGGGTTGTGAAGATTACCTTTGACGGACCCTTCAGTCCTGTTATTCTTGCTGGTGCCAGATGCTCCGACTAGGAGTACGTTCCTTCTCGGCTCTGTAATAAGTGCTGGAGGTTTGGACATGGTGCCCTCCAGTACTGTCTGTCCTGTGTGTGGGGACGAAGGTCACTCTAAAGTCGGAGTGCACTTCTCCCCAGGCTCGCTGCCTAAATTGCGGTGATGCCCACCCTACCTTCTCCTGCACATTTATACACTACCAGCTTGAGGCAGCCGTCCTCAACCTGAAGCACCGGGAAAACTTGTCTTCCTGAAGCGAGGCGCCACGTTCGCCATCTTTTCCCCTTGTGCTAACGTCTCTTGTGGTCGCGTGGTGTTCTCTTCCCCTCCTCGTCCTTCCTCAGTCTCGTAACCGTTTCTGGGCCTTAGACCCAGACACGCCGCCCACCACCACCACCACCACCACCACCACCCACCACTACTACCTCCACCTCCTTCTGTTCCTTTGCGTTCTGTCCCGGAGGGTCCCCCTCCTGTCTGCCTGGGGTTCCCTTTCTGCCCCAGTCTGTTGTCTTTCTCGTCTCCCTCCGATCCTCCTTCCCATCCTTCTCCTCCGTCTCTTAGCTCTCCACGCCATCTGTCGGTGCGGGCTGATGTCCAGAGAGGCATACGCTGTTCTCTACATTCCTCCCTGGTCCTGTCTAACTCGATTATGGTTGCCTTGCTTACTCGTCCGCTTCTACTCTTCGCCGTCTTGATGCTTTGCACTATGCTGGGTTGCGCTTCAGCTCTGGTGCCTTTCGTTCGACTCCCGCCCTCAGCTTGTATGCTGACACTGGTTTCCTACCTTTCCAGGACCGCCATGACAGCTGCCTTCGCTATCTGGCGTGATCCTTGCAACATCATTCCTCTCGCCTCTGTTGTGCTTTGACTTTTACCCCTCCTGTAGCTCCTGTTCCTCTTCACCACCTTCCTCAACATAGCTCAAGCTACTTAGAACGTTTTTGTTCAGAGTAGCTGAATAAAAAAAAACATGCGCATAGGCCTAATTAGAGAACCCGATGCCTCTATGGTAACTGGAGGGGTCGGGGTGACAGATCATGCACATTACACTACGTTAAATTTTATCTTCGTTTATTGTCGCCTTGTCTACACAAATTGCATATTTATCTTTTTAAATTTTAGTAATGAGACTTATCCTCGCCAGGAGAGCCATGATGAGCAAGAACCCTGCCCACTGCTACTCTGCCGCACCACTGGTGGTACGCTCGTCCCTGGGGCTCCTCCAGATGCTCCCTTCTGCATGGCTCCACTTCCTCCTCAAGCGGGGCGTTTATATTAAGATTTTAAATCTTGCTAGAAACTACTAGAATGTAAATGACATGCTACAGTGGTTCACAACATGGAGGGGCGGGGACGGTGAAGGGGAGCCTGGGTTGTCCTTCGTTATTCTAGGGTTTAAAGGATGTTTCGGAGTAACTGAAGACATTATGGTAGTTTTTTTTTCTTAGTTACTGCCCCCCCCCCCTTTTTCACCCTCCTACCTCTAGGTACAAGGTGGATGTCCCTAGCAAAATATTGACCAACCAAGAAGTATACAAGATTTGTCCCTGAATTATGTTCAGGGGTAAAGCTGTATACTAAAGATAGAGTACATGTGCATCCTGATAGGCAAGTAGGTACATTCTAAAGTGTACGAGTAAGCTACGAGAGACTTAAAAGAACACCATGCTAGTATAGTTAAATTTGGAGAACCATGAATGTTACTTCCTAAGTGAAGAATTAGAGCCTGGGAGTGCGTGTAGTTCACCTGCAATAAGCAGGTCTGTACCACATGCCAGCTAGGTGACATTTGCCAGTATGTCATTCAACGATGTAGGAAATTCGCCTAATGCATAAAGACTGATGCTGATTAGAGGCTGCGACAGTATAGAATCTAGCTATCACAATACTGTTGATGTGGTAAATATCAATATTGCTATGTTTAGTATGAAGACTAAATGCACAATTCTTTTCACTAAGGAAACCTGAACATATTTCCTCCATAACCTTGATATCGCTGTTATGAACTTTTGTTCACATATTGGCATAATTAGTAATGTTTAGCGTCTCTTGAGTATCCTGTGCCTTTGATGTTACTACAGTCTCCCCAGCTTGGGCATTATTTGCTTTTACTCCATCATAGTGCCTTAATTTGTATTTATTAAATAGGTCGAGCAAAAAAGTTGTTTTTCTTAAGTCGGTTATGTATCTTTCACAACTGGCGAAATTGTAAGGAAGACGAGGGAAATCTGTAATTGTCTAATCCTAATATGTATGAAAAGGTGGTGGGGGGGGAGGGGTGGTGCTGTAGTTGACTTGCCATCTAATCTATAAAATTTGTGTAATTGCTAGATATACCAATTACGTGATTAAAGCAATAACTTAATCACCCTTTTTGTAAACAAAATTAAGTCCTTGGTTCGAAGATGCTACCTAAAACACCTGGAATGTAAAAGGGGAAATCTAAATTATGAGCTATGGTAACTTGTATATTAAATTTTAGGCCACTGAAGCTCTTGCCATTAAATCTAAAATAAAGCTGCAAGGTGTAACCCTTAAGAATGTTGATAGAAACCACTGTTAATGCTTATGATGTACATTCATAATCATTGTCAGCTGTACAGTCTTCCACAGTTCGGAGGTTATTACATAGTAAGGTACAGATGTAATTGAGATGAATAACCTTACTAAGGCCTCCCCCCCCCCAGTGTAACAAGTTCCGGCTATATACTATGGACATATACTTATTTACCTGAAATGCAACTTAATATATTATACTGCTACATAATCTGTTTTAATTTAACCAAAGTACATGTTGTATTTCATAGTCCCCCTCCGTGGTGTCGCCTTGCCGTGGTGAGGGGCTCGCGTACACCTCCCTGGGACCGGTGTGGGTTACTTACTTGGAGGGGGGGCCCCCCCCCTCACCTGCCTCTTTGGGTGGTGTACGTGCAGGAGGACACCACCTAGGGGGCCTTGTGAACCATCGGACCACCCGCTGGAGGGGTCGCCCCGAGTGGATGGTTGGGTGTCCAGGCTAGGGCGATAGGGGGGAATGGGGTCTTAGCACTAGTGGGAGAAGGAACGATGTAGTAAGACTCCCCTGTTGAAATTGGGGAGCACCGCTGGGGACGACGCACCCTTCAAAAATCACCGACGGGTGATTTTTTTTTTCGGAAGGAGAGTGCGGTGGCCCATAGGGCCATCCATGCAGCTAAGCACGAGTGTTGGAAGTCTAATTTCCACCATTACGTTCGAAACTCCTTTGCTGCAGATCTAGAAGTGTGCAAAATAGCGGGTAAATTCGTTCGTGATGTCTCGCCGGTTCTTCAGCTCCATGGTATTCGTGGCGAACCTGTTGCGGGTCGCGACCGAACTGGGTTTCCACTTCTGCTAGCTCTGGTTCTCGTCTTCCTCAATCTTTCCATCTGTGTAAACCTATCCTTGAATCTCGCCCTTTAGATTTCTGCACTCGTTTCAGACTTTCATATAACGATCCCTTCTATCCCTGACCTTCAGTGTGCCTTGGCCCTCTGCTGTTCTACAGTGGGGGTATGGGGAAGAATGAGGGGGAGGGGGGAAGACTGAGAATATGGAAAAAAAATGAGTATGGGGAAGAATGGGAGAGTGTGGGGGGGAAAAGTGTGGGAGTATGGTGGAGAGGAAGAGTGGGGGTGTAACACTGTAAGGTGTTTATGTATTTTAAATACAACTAAACCAGATATACGCGTCACAGACAAGGATTTGACAGGCGCCATTCTGGCGGCCTGAATCTCACACCTCTAAGAGTTAATGACCACATATGACATTTTCTGGACACCACTGCGGCGAAAGTAAGTACATTTGTGAAATTTTTTCAACATGTATGTGATCAGGGAAGGGTATTTAACACATTTAGAGGAAAACAATTTTGCAAACTATTTTTGGTGCATTTGGGGTTTGTCATATTTTAAGTGGATAAGGAAAAAAATAATCCTTTATTTTTGTTTTTTTGTTTTGTTTTTTTAGCACATAGAAAGACATGCACGAATATCCATAGCCACACACTAAGGGTTAAAAGACTAAAGTCTAATTTGCAGGGTGTTTTCCAGGAATTTAACCCCTGTAGAAATTACAGTACACGTACTACTATATATATCTCAAATCACTGCATATAAAAATATATCTAGTCCTTGCAATTTTTCAGTGGTGGAGATTAAATTCAAGCTATAGAAACAATCCTTCCATTATATCATATCTTAGCAATGTGATATGTTCAGTAAATTTGACCTCTACGTTGACCAAACCACACACTAGAAATTGAAGAGATGACGAAGTTTGATTGACCTCTATCAAATGATGGGCTATCATATTTATCACTATGTCCAATGATATAAATGATTAGCTGTGCATTTCATGCTAATAATAGATGTTCTAATACAGTAAATATGATTGTTATTTTTTTAATAATACACAGTCGAACATTTTCAGATTTACAATATTCAGTAACAGTCTGTTCAAATTACATGTTATATATGGGTGAACATAAAAACAAACACAACTTAAGAATACATGTATATTAATAACAATGGTAATTTTAATGTGCCCCAATGTGCTTATTAGAATTATGTATACAGTAGTACTGTATGAGCTCGGTTATCCAAAGCACACCGAACTGAATATTTGGGTTATCCAGTCAAAATCATGTCTGGATAATTTTTTCCTAAACTTCTCTATATCTGAACAGAAATCCAGATAACTGGAAGTTTGGCAGGATAACACAGAATGGCCAGAGTCTAAGTCAAGTCTGGATAATTTTCTGGCAAAACTTCACCCATATCCAGACAGAAATACTGTACAGGTAACAGGAGATTAGGTTATGTAAATTTTCTGAATTAAATATTTCAAGATCTACAGTATCAAACAAAAAGACAAACTATACCAAGGTAAGCTGAATGTTCCTTCAAATTAATTTTGTTATTGTGTGGGTGAAAATTCAAATAAATTTTGGTTGTGGTACAAACAAAATTGAGAATATGGTAATTTTTGCTGCCCATTTGGGTTAGTGTGGAGCAAGACTAGTAACTGTGTGACTCACCATAGATGTAAAGTGCCTTGTGAGCCTCTTGTTGAATCACTTGTGATACAAAGATTATTGATGTGTGTTTTTGTGTGGGTGATTGAATATGTATGTGTATGTACATGTATTTATGAGTGTGTGTACATGTATATATAACATTAATAATTGTGTAACTAGCATTAAAAAAATTATTTGCTTAGCTAAACGAACTAGAGGGTTCAGTTCCTGAACCGATTATATGCCTCTGTAACCCTTTACACCACCACCCACGGGATGGGGTGCATAATAAAGAAAAGTGAAGTTTTGACATTTGTAAGAATTCTGCTTATCCGGATGTCTAGCTTATCTGGTGAGGGGTCCTCCCATGTAGCCCAGATAAGTGAGCTGAGAGAGTACATGCATTATAAATTGTTCTGAAAATATTTTTGTGCAATAATAACTATTTACGGTACATAAATTTTTGTAAATTCCAGATCGTGGAAACAGCTTTGACACTTGATACTCGGAACTAAATTATAAGACCCTTTAAAACTGTGGATATACCAAGGCATCAGTAGTCATGCAGTCATGATAAGGCACACAATGTGTTTGCTGCTTTCTAATTACTGTACAATAAACTGTACATCATTGACTGGAGGACGACAATTTTTAGCAAAATGAGAAACTTATACATCATCTTATACATTGCTTATACATCTTTGCCTATACATCCCTTTGCTGCACATCTTAACTAAGATGCTAATAGAATCTTAGGACCTCTCCTATTTCTTGTATACATCAATTATTTGCCAAATGTTTCTATCATTCTTAAACCTATACCATTTGATGATGATACTACCTACATCTATTCTGACCCCAACCCAAACACACTAAACAATATTGTAAATAATGAATTAAAAAGTCCACTCATGGTTGTCACCCAACAAACTCACATTAAACATAAAATGTAGGAGGTCTTTTCTATTTGGCAGTAAATCATCAAATGAAATTCAACTTCAGATAATGTTAACATTAGCAATAAAAATGAGGGAAAGTTCCTTGGCCTATTCATAGAAAGCAGACTGAATTTAGGCACCTACATACAACACACAGCCAAAAGAAGCTAGAAGCTCCCGATGGAGGCTCGAATGCCTCCATCCCCGCAACTAAGGCAACCCCCATAGCCGCCCGTGTCTCATCCCTCTAAACCCTCAGATGTTTGGGAGTCTGAAGCAGGGGGGGGGGGAAGAAGGAGAAAAGTAAACCACACCAGCAAGGGGAACATGAAGGGGTGCGGACAGAACCAAGGTCAAAGCGACCAATGCTCCCCAAGTCCGGGTCCCTATAACCAAAATGGGGCAGCCCCAGGGCATTCGAGTGGGCAACCAACCGAGTGCTTTGCAGCAACCTAAACCTAGCATTCAATGCACGAGCTGACCCCTAACCTCAGCTGTAGCAGTATGGGTAAATTGGAGCATAAGTAGAGAACAAGTCTCACAAGACTTCGGGTCAAAGGTGGTGTTGACCAAGCAAGCAGCACGATGGAGGCAATACAGGTGATCGTCACCCGAGACAAGGCAACGAACAATGCTCAAACTCTCAAAAGGCTAGATGGGACTCAGAAGACACATCCATCCTGGTCAACTAAGCCCTGACAGGGTTTTCCAGGGCCTGCAGGGGGGTTGTTTTCCTATGGAAAGCCCAGGCAATGGACCGCCAAAGCCGGTTGTATCCCAGTATATGATCCGGGCAAACTGGCCCCAGTGAGGTGAGCAACCCCAGAGGAGGACCGCCCTACTGAACCTAGGTATCACCTAGTAGGGACTGTGGCAGGCTTCCAATGGGCAATAAAGAAAGCTAAAAAGAATGAAAGAGAACTCCAAGGAACCACCACAACCCAGGGGACCAGAAAAAGGCATGGCTACTACCAATATGCAAACTTGGCAGCCCAGCGCATCCCAACCTGCAACCAACCACTCCCTACCCAGGGCCATACAAAAGTACTGAGACCTAAGTTGACCCCAAGGGTGAGGTAGCAAGCCAAGCAGTCACTATACCTATGGGAATGGGGACCCGAAGGACCCAGAGAAGATAATTGACCCCCAAGGGGTGTACTCACAGGGAGCTTAGGGAAGGGAACCCTAAGAGCATGCAGCCCTTGGTACGAACTCCTGGCCACTGCCAACACACAGTACGAACACCAGCATGGTGAAGCCAATCAGCTTTAGAGAAGTTTCTAGCCTTGGTTCATGTCTCAGGATGCAATTTTCTACCAGGAGGGGTCTGTTTTGAAGCGCCTACCTTTCTGGGTGTTTAACCCCATTTGATGGCAGACATGAATACTTTCATACATGAGTTTTATAGGCCATTGCTCTCTGCATCTCTCTAGAGGGTACCATGTTCTGGCTTGTGGTCTGCAGTAGGCATGACAACTCCATATGACTGAAGCCCCGTACTAATATTAGCCAAGATCAGTCTAATAGCTCCAGGGAGCCCACAGAAATGGTCAGTAAACCCTCTAAAATCTGACATGTTCCCTACTCTGCTCTCCTCTCATTAAACTACGAGCTAATCTATCACTATCTTACATACGATATCTGTGCACGGGGCTCACCCACGGCAAATTACCTCAAGGCCATCATCACTCGGCAAAAATTTGCTATCAGAACTATAACAAATTCTGTTTCCAGACAACACACAGCCCCCTCTCTTTAAGCAAGTCCATTAACATGCTAAACATACATTCA